ACACTAGATGTATTGCCCGCTAAACTGCCCGTCCGCGGCGCAGCAACGTGTTAACAGGCTCACAGGCTCATCACACTTCCCCAGGGCATGGAAGTCCCCATATCAGTGGAAATTGTTGTTGTTGTTGTTATTGCTGTGTGAAGACCCGCGCATATGCTCATCTGCTGGTAACTAACTATCCTGTCAAAGCCACTTTCTTTTTACCAACCTGCCTTTACTTTTTGGTCCATCCAGATTCCAGTCGGACCCAAATGGCTGACGGCATTTGTCAGGACGGTGGTTTAAGTGCAAGTGGATTGTCAAGCGACTGAATACGAACTTGATACGAAAGCTCCAAAACCCGTCCGGGGTTGACCGCCGTCGCCGTCGGATGTCTTGTCCGGCCAACCGACCGTTCCAGCTCCCTTTCAACGCCGAAGGCCTACATATGTCAACATTCAAGGATAGGGATTCTTTTGGTCTTGGGCTTGGGTGAAGTAAGTGGAATGTGAAACAGGTCCTTTTGGTATCCGAGCCCTACACTATACAGGTGGATCATATCATGGATAGACATGTACGTTAAGGGATGGTTGTCTTGGCAACATTCGGTTCGAGTGCTCCTCTTCGTTTGTGTGAATTCATGATAGATGTACGCTAGGTAGGTATACGGATACGGATTAGCCGCCTGGTCTTTTTACTTTCTGCTTTCTGCTCTAGACGTTCTTCTTCTTTAATGTCTCACGTATCTACTTGGCAGCAAACTAATTAGGTACTTACATAGGACGCCCGTACGTATTCCCCATATCGTATTCCGGTCTCCGGATCTTCATCTGCTATTTTGCCTCAGCCGATATTTTGTTGCGGACCATTATCCCAAAAGACATAACCGCTTGTTAGTGAGTTCATAATAGGCATGTGAATGAGACACACAAGATTAGAAAGATAGCAGTTCTGCTAGCTAGAGCCAGGTAGATCAGATACCTTAGTCGGCTGCGTTACCTAGATCAAACTCCGAAGGGGGCACGGTAGGCAGACAGGGCAGGCAATCATGGCCTTATGGTCTCTCAAGTCCGAGAGAAAGGGGCTACAAATGTCGGAATTAGAGATAGGCTGGGCGAGGGGTAGTAGGAGTAGGAGGCAGGGTAGGTCTGTACAATACACACAACGCTCAGTGGGCCTTTGCCAGACTGACTGGCTGTTGACACCTTTGATGTGTTTGACAGGCTGGGTAGAGTATGTTCTGCCAACAACGTTAGTACATTCATACATAGAGTCTTGTAAACAGTTCAGGGCACCTATGCTGTTGCCAAACCTGCTCGGTGATTGTCTCCTATCAACCCAATCTCGTTTCATGTTTGATGTTTCCCTCTTTCGACCCCTTTCTGCTTCGATGGGATAACAAGCCTACGCAACCTCGCACTCGCGGACCCATCGGTCGGACTTCATGTGACTTGCACAAGATGACGAAAACTTCTATTCCGGGATTTCAGCGAGTTCTTTTGAACTGTCTACCTACCTATCTACCGGTACCGATACCCGGCGGTGTTAGAAATACTGACCGGCCGACCAAAAAGCCTACCTAGTATCAGGCGAGACGAGAGAAGGGAATTGATTAATAAACATTGAAACATAAAATTCGTCCGAAATATGCAGATCCGCAAATGATACACACCTAGATATCTACCTTTGACTCATCGGGCTCAAAAGGCTACCTATCTGGGTAAGAAACTAGGAATTCCGACTTCCAGAGCCTAAAAAGGCTCGCCGAACAAAGTGTGATCTGAGCTGAATGGGCAGGCCGAATATCGAATGGGTAGGATTGGCAAGAACGTCGCAAGGGCAGTTACCGGTGGGAAATAGTCGGACGATGTGCCCGAGCCTGAACTCTGAAAACAACTCCCTTCTGTACTCCGCGAGACTCGCAGTTGAGTTGAGTTGCACTCAGTGGACGGTTTGGAGATGTATTGGTTCGTACCTACATCGGTTGTGACTTCCATCCAGTCCATCCGAGCTTCCTCCGTCTATGTTATCTCAGTTGGGTTGGGTCAGTCAGTCAGTCAGTCAGTCAGTCAGTCAGTCAGTCAGTCAGTTGATTTGGTCGATCGTTACTGTGTTTTGCTCCGTTTGCTCGCTTATTGGATGTTGTGTAATGTGACACAGAAACCAAGAGAAGCGCAGGAGTTGGGGGAAAGAGAAAGGAGAGAGCGAGCTTGAAGGGGCGGGAGCTCTCGGCACAAAGTCCGACTTGCAGGGGCACAGTCCAGAGCTTGCATCCCTTTAACGGTGCATCCCTTTAACAGTGCAAATTTATCATTTTCTGCCAAGACCATACACTACTTCCGGTACTTATTTTGGATTTGTTGGAGGGTGATAGTTACTGCAGACTTGGCAGAGTTTAGGTATCTTTGCAGCCAAGATGTACACATGGATAAAAAGCAAGGCAGGCCGATTGGTCAAGGTTGATCTTGGCACAAAATGATAAATTTGCACCGTTAAAGGGATGTAGGTAGGTAGGGCAGGCGTGAATGCAGGCGTGATGCAGTTGCTGAATAAGTGCTTTAGTGCTTTAGTGCTTTATGTAACGCTGATAGGTACGGCACTTCGTGTGACGGAGCGACGGGGTTCAAGTTGAAGAACTGCTGTGAGTTCGAGTAAATAACCGCCGCCGCATACGCATTGAGGAAGACGAAGTAGAACCTCAGGCTCTGGATCAGTTGAGTTTCGGTGTTGGATAAGTCAGGAATGCTGGGTAAGTAAGTATTCTAACAGTTGTAGTGTCTGTATCCGAATTGTTGCACTTTAGCCCGTGGAACCAAATATCTTTTCTTTTCCCGCAGTGACTGGAGTCTAAGCAAGACAAAAGAAGGATCAACGGGCAATGAGTTACCACGTATGTCCCTATGCTACTGATATTTGTTCTCTGCTACGACAGTACTCTGCTTATTTACAACGACCCCTAAACAGAACTTTTTGAAGAGTTCATTTAGACTTCAAGATGATACTGCTTTCTGCTTGTTACCAAAATACGATTCCCGTCGTACACGTCCAAACTCTCGCATTACACATCCTAACTGGACCGCAACAGCCGGAGACGTACGGAGGACGGGAATTATCGACTGCTATTCCCGTGGCTCAACCACCCTCTTTCAATCAAATCACCAACTCACGTACCGTACAACATCGTGGTCAAACATCTGGCCTTTTTTTGGAAGAAAGGGGTGTTAACTGTTGCGTGGTTGCGAAGCTGCTGTGACGGCACCAGCCCGAGTAGACCGAGTCAATTCATATGGCTCGAGAGCCTGCTTTCCTGGCACACACACAGACACGTAACCCGACCGGTACGGTACCACTGTGCCATCATCGGTACGTGTACCTACTCATCATGAAGTTGAGCATGTTTCTGAATGTGCCGCTCCGCTCCCCCCCCTTCCTATCATGCGGTAACCGGAACCAACCCAACCTTGATGGTCAACTTGGGGGTCTAAGTCTGGTCCGTCCGTCGCCTTCCCCCGTTGGAAGAACCACGCAGAATGGCAGGCATATGCCCAAAGAGGCGGAGAGGCGGAGAGGCGGAGAGGGCGGTTGCATGGATGAAGATGTGTGTGGTTGAGTGTCCATTCGATACTACATTACATTGGGAATGGGATGGGTTGAGATGGACAGGCTACAGCACCCGAACGGGCTGGGATCCGACTCGGACTTCGTGGTCCCTGACTGTTGTGTAATGACAGCCCGGCTATAGAGGTATCATTGGGTTGACTGAACAGTTTCGGAGTGCGTATGATGCTCTTCATTTTACAGGGAAATTGCCATGGTTCAGTCTGGTGGACATGTTAACACCAAAGTGGCCCGTTACGGAAGGGGGGCTTTGTCCCATACAGTGACGATCATAAATCAGTCAGGGACACAGTTGCATGATACTTGAGATACGCTCAAAAGACAATAACTCTTCAAGTGGCGAGGGGGACACTCACTCGCTATTTGGAGATAGGGAGTAAACAAAACAGGAGATACGGCCCTGGAATACCGGACGGAATGAACTCCAAGTTGTTAACCCGAAGTTCAGTTGCAGTACGTCAGTTAGTCGATATTTGAAGGTTAACTTATCCTTCGCATGCCTCCAGAATTCTCAAGAAGATACCTACACTCTACGTACTTCTGCAGCAAGTTGCAAGTGTATCGCCCTATCCTCTACACGGGGTTGAAGAAGAAGGCGTCGGAAACAGACAAAGAATGAACACGCCAAGTCTAACTTGGAAGAGTTATGGGCTTGAAGTTGAAAATAAAATCCAACAAAAACCAACCTACCTCTAGGCATCCAGACGTGGCTGTGCTCGCTCTTGTGTCCGCGCGTTTTGAAATTGCGGCGGTCGACAACGATCCGCTAATGGCGCCAACATGATTTTGTTGGTCGTATGTTGATAGTAAATATTGGATCCAACTAGCACGATTGTGAAATACATGTTAGGAGATAATGGACATGACTTTGCTCTAATCCCGGTTCATTCCTTCCCACCAACGAACCTAGACTTTGAAACAACAAAGTAGATATGCCGTAAAGAAAAGCTCTAGAATCCAACTACCTCAAGCCTAACTGGTGATGGCCATGGTGACAAAGACAAAGATATTGATACAAAAGCAAGTAAAATCAAAACCCATTCTCCTCACACATAGCGTAGAGCTAACGCATCATGCCACTTCCCCCTCTACTCCTCCCCAGCAGCAGCGGACCAGTAAGGCATAACGTAGTCCAAACTTTCGTGTATCATTTTCCTCAATTCTCTTTCATCTTCCACGCTCGCAATGACAGCCCGTTTGGCGGAAGCATGTAACTCAAAGCTCGGCAATGAAGTGTTACCAAAGATCTTATCCCAGACACAGCCACTTATTCTTCGATTTTCCTTATTGACTTTGAGCTTCAACTTGACATAATCACCATCCTGCCATACCATTTTCAAAATCCCCTCCTCCGTTTCCTCGAAGGATATTACCGGATCACGCCTCCTAGATACTATCTCCTTCTAAGCAGCACCGGCACCAGGACCCGCATTTCCACCTCCTCCCGCTCCTGCTGCGGCAGCTCCACCGCCACCTCCACCAACGTTACCTCCACCACGAGCTCTCTTGGGTCCTCCCTGGTTACCTCCCTCTCCATCACCTCTAGGCCTCTTGTTGCCAGCGGCTTGTTGACCGGGTTGGAACTCGCCAGCATGGGGGTTCATGCCACCTCCTTGACTGGCGTTGGCTCCGCCGCGTCCACCGAAGCCACCGCGACCGCGCTGCCCTTGACCGCCGCGGCCCTGGGCCCCGTATGCGCCACGTCCACCACGAGCGTGGTTCCCGCCTCCTCTAGCCACTGGGATACCGGTACGGTTACCCTGTTGGTTCTGGTTTTGTTGTTGTTGATGACCACCAGGGAACTGCTGCCCACCTTGTTGCTGTTGTTGCTGCTGCCCTTGTGGCTGTTGACCGCCAGGCTGTTGCTGCTGTTGAGCACCGAAGGGGTTTGTGGCAGGTGGTTGCTGTTGCTGCTGGGGTGCGGCACCGAAAGGATTGGCAGGTGGCTGCGTAGCCACTGGGGATTGATTCGCTCCAGGCTGACTGAAGGGGTTACCAATGACCTGTCCAGCTATGATGGAGCCTTGTCTGGCCGGAGCGGGTGCCGCCTTGTTGGCTGGGGTCGGGGGGATCTGAGGCTTGGTCTCCTCTCCAGGAGCGGATTTCACTACTACAGCACCGGCGTCTAAGCCATTGTTAGTACACTTGGTCATCGATTGAAGGGCACGGTGAAACTTACTCAGGGGGGTCGCCGGTTGCTGGCCAGTGGCAGGTGTGGGCGCCGGTGGTGCCGGAGCCGGGGCGGGCGCCTTAGCAACCTTTGCAACTTCCCACACTTCGACAACGGGCTTCTGCGGCGTTTCCTTTGCCGCGGTCTCGACGACAGCCGTCTTGGCCTTCTCGGTCTTGAGCTGACGGTCGAGCATGTTGAGCCGCAGGGCAGATTTCTTCTCAGTCAGAGCGGCCGCTTGCTCCTTAGCAGAGGCAATCTTCTGCTCATACTCGGCCTTGACGGTCGTCTCCAATTCCTCGCGCACCTTCTTTGACTCGGCGGCAATATTCTTCTTAACGTTGCTCTTGATGATACCCATGATCACCTGGTTGGAGCTAATGAGCTCGCGAGTCTGCTGGTCGGTAAGATTGGCGAGATCCGGGAGACTACCAGGAGTACCGGCAATTGGGGTTTGTGCAGTTTGGGCAGTGGGAGGCTTTGCTGGAGTCGCCGGCACGCCATTCTGAGGCACCCCGCTCGCTTGCTCGGCCTTCAAGATGGCGAGCTCTTGTTGAAGCTTGAGGTCGTACTCAGCCTGCAGCTTCTGTCTCTCCTCCTGAGTCTGCTTCTCCATGGCCTCCTTCGACTCGGCCAGCTTCTTGTTCAGCGCAGTCTTCATCTTCTCAGAACGCTGCTTAACAATGGCATCGGCGCGTTCTTCCAAGTCCTTGGCCTTGGCCTCAAACTCGGCAGCCTTCGCCTCAGCGGTGATAATTCTCTCCTCCAACGCCTTCCGCTCCTCATCCGAGAGGCCGGTGTCCTCTTGTGCTGGTGCCGGGGCAGAAGCAGGGTGGGTCGTCTCAACGTCTTGCATCTCCGTGTCCGTACCGTTCGAAGAAGCTTGTAGACGTGCAACATCTGCGCGGGCTTCGTCACGCTCAGTGATTGTAGTGGCCAGTTCCGCCCTGAGACCTTCGAGTTCGGTCTCAACTGTGGCCTTCTGTAAGTTGACCGACTCCAGTTCTTGTCTAAGCGCATCCAGCTGCTGCTGAAGCTGGGGATCTTGTTCTACAGGAGTAGCGGCAACGGCAGGAACGGGCTGCTCTGCAGGTGCCACTGCGGCCTGCGCATGCTGTTCCTGAAGCAGTGCGTTATGCGTCTGCAAGTTTACCAGCTCCTGTCTGGCAGACTCCAGATCCTTCTCGACGGCCGACAGCCGCTCATTAGTAGCATCCAGTGTGGTTTGGAGCGCTTGCTTCTCAGCGGCAATCTCGTTGCGCTGATTTTTACGTTCCCGAAGCGCGTCTTGAAGTCCTCTGCAAGTCGTGCCCGCATATTCTTCCAGTTGGTCCGCTCAGTCTCCAGGTTCGTCTCAGCCTCCTTGAGCTTCTCTTCGAGGGCGGCTTCGGCTTGCTTGAAGGCTTCACGCTCAGCTTGCAGGCTTTCGACCGAAGCCTTGAGCTGTTCGACTTCCTGAGGATCAGCCTGGCCGTATTTGCTCAGGATGGACTCGATTCTCTTCTGTAGGCCATCGCGGGCTTCTTGCAGTTGCTTGACTTCCGCCTCCTTAAACGTCTTGTCAAGCTCGAGCTCACCAATCCTGGCTTCCAAAGGTTGAATTTTGTTTTCGAGATCTTCAATCTTCCGGTTCTTCATCGCGAGTTGTGCCTGGGTTCGCAGGTTCTCGTTCCTGAGCGTGACATTGCTCTCACGGATCAGGTTGAGCTCGTTCAGCTTATCCATCAACTCCTTGTGAGTAAGTGAGTTTCTGGCGCTATCAGCTTGAGAGCGACGTTCCTGATCCAGCTTGAGACGTGCTTCATCGAGCTGCGACTGAGAATACTCGAGCTGCTGCTGAAGTCTCTTCGCTTCTTGTACCTTGAGATCGAACTGTACCTCAAGGATCTCCTTCTCGCGACGCAGGTAGTTGTTGAGTTCCCGAAGACCTTCCACGGCATTATCGTTGGCAGAAATCGGCGTGCCTTCGGCGGAATCATCCATTGCGGAACGGCTTTGCTGCAAAGCGCTGATCTGAGAGGTAACACCATCAAGCTGTTGGTGTAGAAGCTTGTTCTGCGCAGTGAGGTCGTCCCTCCTCGCCTTGATCTCAGTGATCTCTTGTTCGAGCTGCTGTTTGCGCTCCTCCCAAGACTGCTCACTCTGTGCAAGAGAAAGCTTTGCCGACTCAGCCTCAGCCCTCCATTGAGCAGAATGACTCCTGAGTTGGTTATGCTCTTCCCGAAGCTGCTGAAGCAGCTTAGCCGCCTCTGCATGTCTCACGAGTTCTTGCTCATAGTCCTGTTGGGCCTTGGTGGCAATTTCTGCCTGGGCCCGCAAGTCTTGCTGATGGAACTTGAAGGCTTCCTTATATCTCTCCTCCTCATCCTTCAAACGCGCGATTTCACTGTTGAGCATGCGCTCCTTATCTTCAAACTTGCGGGCGAAATCAGCCTGGGAATCGCGAAGCGTGTTAAGCTCGCTGTTGGAATTGCCCAGCTCGACCGTAAGGCCTTCAACACGCTGTTGCAGTTCGTTGATCCTGCTGTCCTTGGCTGCGAGATCCGCATCCATCTGTTGTCGGTATTGCTCTTGGGTCTCGTTCGCGCTTGTAAGCTCTTCCTCCATCTCGCGGCTGAGCTGCTTGAAGTTATCACACTGTTGCTTAGCATTCTCCAGCTGCGCGTTGAGCAAGTCGATGTTGTTCTTAAGATCCTGGACCTCATTCTCGAGCTCCTCGATACGAGCCTGGGAATCATCATCGGTAGATCCCTGCTCAGCAGGCTGGGCCCTGGGTGTCGGCAGGGGACGGAGACGGTCGGCACGTTCTTGCGCGTTACGAAGCTCAACCTCAAGTTCACCAACGCGAGCCTGAAGATGATCGCGAGTAGTCTTGGCAGCCACATTCTCCTCCTTGACCTGACTGATCATAGCAGTAAGCTCATCGATGCGTTTCTGATATTGTTGGGAGTCGAACTCTTTCCTGAGCTGAAGCTTCTTGCTCTCCTCCATCTCTTCAGAAAGCTTGCGCTTAGTGGTGGAGAGTTCAGCCTCAAGGGTGTCGATCTGGGTTTGTTGTCTGCGCTTTGTCTCAGATTCGCTGAGTTCGCGCTCATTGAGAAGGGATTGTTGGCTGGTCAAGAGGGTGTTAAGTCTTGCCTTCTCCTGTGCAAGACTCTCGTTGTCTTGGCTCAAGCGCTCCTGGATCGTCTTCCACAGGTTCTTCTCCGCCTTGAGGTTGGCATTCTCGCTGCGGAGGCTCTCAGCCAAGCCACGAGCATCAACCAGATCCTCAGCAATTTGCTGTACCCGCAGGTCTTGCTTGACACCACACTCGGACAAGGCCTGGTTTCTCTTTTGTAGCTCCTGATTCTCACTCTGAGCTGCCTTGAAGTTGGATTCCAACATGCTGTAGCGTTCCGTAGCGAGCGTAAGCTGGCTGGAGACCTTAGCAATCTCAGCCTGAAGTGAGCCCTTCTCCGAAGACAGCTTGTCGATTTGCTCCTTAAGAGACTTGTGTTCAGTCGTTTGGTCGTTTCGGTAAGAGTCGTACTGTGCCTGTAGCTCCCTATAGGCGGCGGCGAGGTCGGCATCTTCGGCGGAGTTTTGCTCGATGCTAGCGAGAACTTCACGTTGACTTACATCCTCGCCCAGGGCAGCGCGAATCTCGGCAGGATTGGCTCGTTGTTGGAGCATGCGACGGAACATGTCTCTCTCTGTCATGTAGCTCTTCATGCGTACCGTAATCGACTTGACCTCGTCCTGAAGGGTCGTGACAACAGTACGAAGTTGCTGGACCTCCTCATGATCCTGCGCTGCTTGCTGCTTCTCAGCCCTGGCCTCCTCGTTCTCCATCTTATCCGCAAGGTCACGAACCACACGCAAGAGCTCCTGGTTCTTCTCCTGCAGCTCGTAGATGTCCTTGAAAGCGACGAATTTCTCGGTAATGTACTGGTGAGTATCCGACATGTCGTCCAGGGCATTCTCAGTAACTTCGCCTCTCTTGAGCCTCTCGAACTTGGCGGCTTCTTCCTCTGTCAACTTATCGAGACCCTTCTCCTTAGCATGAATATTGAAGCAGAGAACATGGACTTGCGTGCTTAAATCACGCAGCTGCCCACGGAGAATCTTGACCTCGGCTTGGGCCGTAGCCGCAAGTGCCTCGGCCTTCCTCTGGGTCTTGACGGCAAGGTCACGCTCCTCATATGACTGCTCCAGGAGTTGTGACATTTGGATGGTCTCGTTCTTGAGGCGTTCCGACTCTGCATTGAGCTCATCGATTTCAGGCATCTTGGCTTCGAGCATAGCAACGGCATCATCCAGTTCTTCCTGCAGCTTCTTGCAACGGCGCTTCTCGCCAGCAAGCTGGCCCTTGACATTGTAAAGCTCCTCAAGAGCATCAGTAGCACGCTGGCCGGCTCTACCGCGAATGGAGAGCGGAGTACCGAAGGGAGATCCGGCACGAGCAGCGGTAAAGGAGCCGTCACCCCTGGGAGTTTGAGGTCCAGCGCCGGGAGATCTACCGCGAGAATCACCGGACGCCTTGATACGGTCAACTTGATTCTGCAGCTCCTGGGCGCGCTGCTCCGTCTGTGCGTGATCCTCCTTTTCTTGCTCGAGCTCACGTCTGATGCGTCTGATCTCGTCGGCGTGGTCGTCCTTGATCTGCTCCAGTCTCAACTCGACCTCCTTCAAGCGATTACGATGAGTCTCGGACTGTTGATCCTTGAGCTCAACAAGGCGCTTGGCGGATTCGAGCTCTTGCTTGAAATCCTCCTCGGTACGCGCAGCGGCTTCCTGAAGTTGCTGGACCTTTGTCAAGGCCTCCTCGGCCTTCTCTTGTGCCTCCTGGAGTCGCTTGCGGAGAACCTGCTCGCTTCTAGTGAGAGATTCGACAGTCGTGTTGGCGTCGTCGTTTAGGCGTTGCAGCTCGGCGATGCGGGCACCCTTCTCCTTGCGGAACTTGATCGCCTCGGCATTCTTTGTCTTGAGCTCGTTATCGAGCCAGTCGTTGGTGCGTCTCGCCTGCTCCAGTTCCTGCTTCAGGGCCTCCTCACGATACTTTGCGGAATTGGCGGCAGTCTGTGCGGTTTGTACAGCCTGATTGAGCGATGTGACCTCCTGGTTGAGCTTGAGGATCTTCTTATGCTGATCCTGGAGCTCCTCGGCCAGTCTAGCGTGGGCCTGGGTCTTGGAGTCGACAATGGCAAGGGTTTCGCGGTTCGAAGTCTCGAGCGAGGCAATACGCGCACGGAGGGTTTCGATTTCGGAAAGGGAGGCCGATCCCGAGGACTTGAGGGTCTGTAGCTCGTTCTCTATAGACCGCCGTTTGGTCTCTGTGCGACACGGACGTGTTAGCAGCAAGGCGCGGCAAGGGTTGGGGGGAAGAAGGGAGCAAGGGTCTTGCCTTCATCTTGTAGCTTTTGACGGAGCTCGTCAACTTCTTTGAGGGCCTTGTCGGTGGTGGCCTTGAACTGCTCACAGCGCGACTCTGAGCTTCGGATGGCGCCTTCCAGCTCAATTCCCAGCTGGAACTTGTCCTCCTCGAGAGCACGGATCTTAGTTATTATGGCAGCGAATATAATCTTGACCAGGTCTGGAGTCGGCGCGGTAAGGGCGGTGTTCAGATCGGAATCAGGTACGCCGACCTGGGTCGAAAGATAGGCCACGTCCACCTCGGCCGCCGCCATGTTGGGAATACCGGCTTAGCGGTGCATGAATGGGCGAGACCGCAAACACGCAACGAAACACGCGACGACTGGTCGATTGTGAAAGAGTCGTGGCAGATCTCAGGTCGACTTGATGGCGCTGCTGTCGCTGAAAATAGAAAGGAAAGTCGCGAAAGTGGATGATCTCGGGGTGGTCGGGAGCGTGGTGATGCAGGAGTGAGTCCCAAGTGTTGTTTTGGAATTTCTTTGACGCTGCCAGTCGATGGAAGTTGCAGCTTGAGGTGTGCCCGGTCTTGCTTGGTTGGAGTGACGGGACTGGCCTGCTGCAACTGCGACTTCCCAACACCCACCTGCGACTGCTTTGGGTTAGCGCAGAACTGTCGCGCTGGCCAGCAGGGTGGCAGGAGCGATCCACCTCGAACAGCTTCCGTGGGGCCGCTCCTTCCAGGTACCTATTCTTCCACGGCAGGCGCTGGGTTACCTACGCAGCCTACGCAAGCACTCTGTAGCAGGCACTTGTAGTTGATGTGGTCTGTGCATCTGGACTTCCAACTGAACTGCTTCCTGTTGTTGGACTCAAGCCTTGAAGTCACTTCTCCCAACGACAACAAACATCACAGGCCGGGATATTCACACTTTCTCACATGAAGCGATAGTTTCTATTTCCACGCGGCCATCAGGTCATCCACTCTACATTCACACTTCCCTTCAATTGTTAAGCTACGAAGGCTCTCTTAACAGTCTCTGATTTAAAAGCGAAACTCGAGTCTTCGAAGCTGGAACGAACTTCCTCTCGAAACTCTGCCCACCTGGCCGTCCTGGACTTTCTGCCATGGTCAAGGTAAGGGATGGTATAGGCATGGAGCTCGAGATTGTTTGCCTCGAGATGCTCTCTCTCAAGGTCACCCATTGGCTCTGATCTTTGTTCTTCCCCTTACATATATGGCCTTTGATGCAAGTACACGCATTACACCCTAATTAACTATCCAACACAGACACTTCCTGGTATGAAGCGATCCTTGAAATCACATCATTACATCACCCATCTCTCTCCCAGCTTCCTTGATCAAGATTTCTCAACTCTCCCTCTTGCATTTCCATCCATCTCATGAAATCCCGGCACCGGACCGGATTGCCACGCCGTCGGCTGTAGTTCAACCGCCCGCTGTTGTCCCATCATCTCATGTCTGTTCGGCATGAACTGGGGAGGTGCCGCGTGTCCTTGCAACTCCTGACGATTCGGACCTGGATAGATTGCCCCCTGTCCCTGGAGCTCCGAAGCATTGTTCATCATGGGAGAAACTGGCGAGGGACCTTGGGGCATCGGTTGCGATGGGTTCTGGGCTACACCATATGGAGCGTGCAACTCGGCACTGTTCGGCATCGGAGGATACGCAGGTGTCTGCCCGTGAAGCTCGGTGCTATTGAGCGGGTGTGGCGGTCCTTGACCTTGGAGTTCAGCATCATGGAACGGACGTTGTGCTCCTTGGCCGTGTAGCTCCGTGCTATTAAGCGGATGCGGAGGTCCCTGGCCTTGGAGCTCGGCCGTCAACGGGGGAGGCGAAAACCCGCCAGCACCAGCCGACACTGGAGACACGGTATCGACTCGATTTCCATCCTTGAGCATGCTTGTGGAACGACTTGGCGGCGAGGGCGGGACGGCGGCGGCGGTAGCAACGCCACCAACAACGGGATTGCCAGCAAGTTCGGGCTTGCCTCCTCCAGCAACGAAATCATTGACGGCATTCGCGGAGTTGGCCTGCTCCGTGGCCTTGCGCTGCTTTGACTTCCGGATGAAAAAGAAGAGGAGAGCACCAATGATGCCCAATCCGACGAGTACGCCCACGACAGCGCCAGCAATAGCCGCGGTGTTGGAAGGCTTGTTACCGGTGTTGCCGCTACCGCTCCCGCCGTTATCAGCGCCTCCTGAACTGCCATTGTTGGAATCGCTACCAGTGCCGGAACCAGATCCAGAACCACTGCCACCGCTGGCAGTAGCCTGGGGACCACCGTCGACCCTGCTACCGCTCTGAGCGGTTGGTGATGGGTCTGCCTGGGATGCCGAGGCGGTAACCCCATTCGCGACGAGCTTGTTGTTGGCGGCGCTGCAGTACAAGTCCAGAACCTGTTGCCAAGTGTCAGTCGTGTATATGGGCGTTTGGGCAATGTTTGAGGGTATATGGACATACAGCCATTGCCGATGAAATATCGTCAGTTGCTGTCGAACCACAGCTGTATTTGACGCTTGCGGTAATGGAACTTGTCACCTCCACAAGCATTTGGTCCTTCAGACACACACATGACGCAAGTGCCTGGGAGCCATCCGGACATAGCTTGCGAGATTGCTGATTCACCAAAATTGTCAGCATCGGGGCGTGATCTTGAACAAGAAAAGACATGCAACTCTTACCCCTTGAACGGCATAGGATACGGCCGAAGCAGCACATTTAGCCAATGAACTGTACTGTGGCAGGTCCTTGATATAGTACGTCACTGTCCACCAGGTACTCGATCAGCAAACCGAACAAAGCCCAAAGTACATGTTCAATTACTGTCAAACTTACTATCGCCGGGAGGGTTACTTGGCTTAGGAAACGCTGAAGTGCCATCGTTCAGTTTACACCACGCGGACCACATCCCTTGAGCCGACGAGACATCGGCCGTGTGGCTTTCGCAGTAGTACTTTACCGATGAGTTGATGAGTTGGCTCGCCAGCAGAGAGTTCTGATTTTTCTGGCAAGCGCAAGTGGCATAGGCTGCCAAGTCCGAAGGGCATCGTTCGCGTCCCTAGAAGAACATACACGCATCAGTATCAACACCGGTCGACCGGTCTAAGAAAGTATCCAAAGACCTCCAGCTTTTTAACTAACCACTGCTTTGACTGCATACCCAAGCGCAGTAAACGCGCAAGGCGCCAACGCGGCCACCTCCGGCACATCAGTAATATACTGTGTCACAGAAATCGACGGCTTTGGAAACTCGGGAAGCTTATCCTGGCTACAATACGCACTGAGCACTGTCGCTGCCGACGCCTGGTCCTCAGTGGCTGTCGATCCGCAATAGTAGTTGACGGACTTGGAGACGTCGGACTTCATGGCGATAAAGTTGTTGTTCTTGGTGCAAACGCAGCCTTGAAGTTCGTTGGCTCCCGGCGGACAGGCGTCGCGGGTTTGGCCTTGGACGTTGTAGGAGAGGGCGGTTTGGGCGCATGGTGCCTTGATATCAGAGGGTGGGAAATCGTCAGCTCTACTGTCTCTAGGGGCAGAGGGGGTATGCGGTCCGATAAGACTGGCATGCTTGAGAGGGGATGGGGTAAGGTACCAGGGAGTTGTATATCGTCAAGTCGGTGATGTAGACAATTGAAGCGGCCTTTGCGGCTCCCAGTAAGCCTAGGAGCGGCAGTGGGGATGACCGGTGTTGTCGACGCATCTTGTTACAGAAAGACAGCACGTGGAGGAGTTAGGGGTTAATAGGATGATGGTAGCTGGCTAGGTAAGATGGTATCGTAGGCGGACGAAGAGACGGCTGTGGGGAGTTGACGGTCAGGACCGGATCAAAGCAAGCGTGATGATACAGAACAGCCTGCTCAACCGCGTGACGCTCAAATGTCTTTGGGAATCCCAAGTCGGTGTAGTGCATGAAGGAGACCCAAAGGGTAAGTAAGTCAAGGTGGAAGAAAGAATCGCGGATACAACTTCAGGGAAAAAACACAACCCCGATCCGTTCTTTGAACTACTACGCCCAAGGCGCATAGACGCTGGATCAACGCTGTGAACGAGGCGAGGCGTTTTTCCAAAGCTCCCATGTCATACCCCCCTTATCTCCCCTAGGAACAGCTCACGATTGCATCGTTTATCTTGCCCACACATCATGCACAATTCCTTTGTACCACACCTTCGTCCCAGAAGCCATGTTTCTCACATTGTCCGATGTCAAGATAGGAAAGGAAAAGATATACCCCTGGTCTGGTTGGTGTTGTAGAACCCCTACCAGCTGAAAAAGAAAGGTACCCTTACACTACCATAGGAAACAAGAGACACAGATGCAGGCACACGCCACGGTAAAGGGTGTTTAGCGAGTCTGGGGAGGAAGATCAAGCTCAGTGGAGGGTCGGCCAATTGGGAGAGTGCCCTGGAGATGGCGGCTTGAGTGTCCATATTTACCACTCTTCGACGAGAATGTCTTTCTCATTCACACCTCAAAGGCGAGGAGTGCGTCTAGATGGTATATGTACTCTCTTTTCGAACGGATCTTTTTCGCAAGCCTCACCTAACTCTAGTACACTGATCTTCTTGATCTCAACAGCATTCGAACAAGAAGCACTCGAATACTTTCACACTTTAAGTTGCATTCTCTGTTGAGCAACTAGCAAAAAATGGCTGAGATCACGACAGTGAGCCTGTATAGTTTCTCCATTAACACACGCCAAGACCAAGCTCAAAACCCCCAAAAACTCAATCACTACTCCCACCCACCCGTTACGACCCGCATCCATCTCCCACGCACACGCTTCCCCAAGCGAAGAGGTACGAAGGTAAGTAAGACGGAACTATTATATACCTTAGCTTCAGAGAAAAGGAACAAGATCATCATCAGCCACATACATGTTTTTGTCGTTTCGTCTCGTTGACTCGTTGTTGAAGTGAGTGAGGCGCCCTATAGTACAGCACAGCACAGCACAGCACAGTTATCAGTTCCTAAGTGGGCGGACTTGTGGGTAGTTCTGCAGGATAGGATGGTGTGTGGGATATGCCCAGACAGGCAAGTTTTGGAGAGAAAGAAGCTTATATTTAGACATGTGAAGCATGGCGCATGGCGTTATGGTGCGGGCGGAATTGATATGATTTAAGGGGTTGCCGAGGAACGCCACGGTGGTATGGGTGGTTCAGCGCGGTTATGGTAAGATACAGCTCGGGCTGTGGTGGACTGGGCCGAAGAGAGGGTTGTGTTACACCCGGCTTCGGAGAGGGAACGAACGGAATTTGTTGGAAGGGTGCGTATAGGATCGTCGGAATCTGAACGTCCACGTCGAGATGATATCTTGCGAAAGAGAGAGATATGTTGGACAAGATGGGCAGGAGCATTGATATCAACAACTGTAGTTCTGTCGCCTAATCAATAATGAATCAGAGGTTTGATGCCTTAGGTATCCCATGTGTAGCACACACCCAATGAATTGCTTCTTCCAGAACCCTTCTTCCCTACTTTAATCCCACTTTCTTCATCAGCAACTCCAGGTATCACAGGCAATCAGATCCTTTCTTTCGTTATAGGATGCTATAAACCCGTCCAAAAAGACGGTGCTCCTTCCCTCGCATTACCATCATCCATCCCTCATATCCCCCCTCTCCAGTCCCTTTGCAGATCCCATCCCCATCCCCATCCCCATCCCCCAAAATTCAAAAATCAATGATCCATAACCTCCCAAAACAAATCCGTATTCAACACCACCTTCTCCCCCATCCAAATCGCCCGTTCCGTATGATTCCTCGCCTCCTTCTCCGCCTCACTCATTTTTTGTCCTTCTCCCTGTTCTCCTCCTCCTTCTCCCCCTTCCTTATTTTCACTCTTTTTAAGTGTAGGTTCAGTAGTATTGGGATGAATCAACACACTCAACGGACCCCTCCAGATCGCCAACCAGCCCACAAACGCGCCAAACTGTGCCGGCGTAAAGATGTTGACTTCAAACATGGCGATGGGGTGCGGACCCACGGGTTTGGTCCAGAATGTGTAGATCCTCAACTCGGGAAACTCGCGCCGGATGCGCTGGTGCAGCTCGGCGGCGTATTGAGCTTGGGTGGGATGGTTGGGGAGGTGGTAGATGTGGATGTCGCTGAAATGGATGTGTTAGATTTGGCCTTTTGGCGGGAAGTGAAGAGGATGAAGTGGAGGGATGGGAAGGGGAAGGGGAAGCAAAACGTACAAGGCACCTCGTGGTCCGTTGTCGAGAGGTTCGGGAAACTCATCGTAGGCTTTGCTGAGGACGCCGGTTTGGATGTTGAGGAGGCTCTTGCCGTCTTCGGCCTTTTCGGTTGGAAGGGTCGGGGCGTTTTCGTAGCCTTTGAGGGGAGATTTGTAGGTTCTTGGGGGTGGCATGATGTTGTCTGGTCAGGAGTTGTAGGATCTCGGGCTGAATGGTGAAGTTCGAGGTGAGTAGGCGGTCGATGAGGTGGGTGATATTTATCTTCAGGGTCGGTTTTTGGGTGTAAAGGTAGAGAGAGTACTGGGTGAACGTGGGGTATAAGCTCAGGAGCATGTAAATAAAAACCAGAGGTGAGGTGAAGTCAAATATCGCATCTGAATACCTTCAACTACAATACGTGATCATGAGTAAGCATTCAGTCTTCATTACAAAGTTGGGGTTAGGGATGACAAATAACGGCGCTCGTGGAAATGGCGTGCGATGGGGTCCCGGCGTGGCATCATCCTAGCATCCCACCCGTGACCGATTGGCGATCCCGTCCGGGGAAGCCCCGCCCCGCACGGCGGCATCCGACATGACAACACGGCACGCGACACGGGGACCCCACGAGTTCCATAACCCACTGCCCACTCGTCCGGTGATGACAATTCGATCTGGAAGCACTGTCAGTTCATAATATAGTTAAAGACATTCAAACCTATCACGGCAACAAGGGAAGAAGTCCACGCTGAGGTGTGATTAGAAAGCCTCCTGCTTGTTGTGAGGATAATCTAAAATACAGTAAACAAATGCCTACTACGCCGGTGTAATAGTAATACTCCGAAACAATGCTGACATCTAAACAAGTAGTAAGAGAAACTGAAAGGTATGAACCGTGCACCTAGCCTCCTGGCCATCTTGAACGCCATGCCCAAACCAAACCCATGATACCGGAGCCGACCCAAGCCATGACTGAAGCAAATCCTTTTGGTTCCAAACAGCCCCTTTCCCATGTCAACCTTTTCCTTCTAAACCAGCAATGTGAAAACACGTCCCGTGGGAAACAGTCCATGCTCGGAAATGCGCAGCAACAAAATCGAATGCTTGACATGACACCGTGTCGATGCCCCTAAACCGTAACAAAGCCGTAACAAAAGCGAGAAATACTGTAGTAATGCGAGGTGATGGCTGCAATGACGATCCTCGACTTTTGAGTGGCGGAATCTCTAGCGGAAGAAGCAGGCTCAGGCGGGAGCTTTGCCCTTGTCGTTCGCATCCGAAGGGCCGGAAACATCGTCGGTGGGGTCGAGATCGGAAGAGCTGGTGTTGACCTGCTCGCCAGTCGCAACATCAACCAGCTTGTCACCGTCAACTTCGACCTCTCTGTTTCCGATGCGGCGCATGAGGTCTAGGAAGGTCGACTTCTGGAATTTCTCGGACTGGTTATCGGCGACGGAGGTCAAAATGGCGTTGGCAGCCTTGGCAAGCTCCTCGTTACCCTCGCGGCGACGGGCCTCAGCTTCCTCCTTGGTTTCCTGCTCCTGGGCGAGGTTCTCGAGATCAGCATTGATGGTCGCCATCTCCTCGTCGGTGGGGGGACCAACTTTGGTGTTGTTCTCGGCAGTCGGACCGTGCTGCGCCATCCATTCGGCCTCGGCAGCCTCAAACTCTCGCTGAGCCTGCTGCTGTGCCTTCTCGGCCTTTTCCTTCTGGGCCCACTCAGCGAGCTCTTGCTCAAAGGAGCTATCGTCGTACTCGCCGAACGCTTTGTTGAAGGCTTCGACGTCCAGAGCAGTCTCGACGTGGTCGTTAAGTCCGACCTGGGGCTGCTGATGGGTGAAATTGTTCAAGCCAGTATCGTGCATGACAAAAGGATCGTCCATGGACATTCCCATGCCCATACCCATATCCATACCGACACCCATTCCCATACCGCCGAACTGATGAGTATTGTAGGCCATATGGTCGTCCTGCATGCCCATCATGGGGTTGTGGGTTACAGTAGACATGGCTTGAGATGACATGGCCGGGGCCGGGTGAGTTGTGTCCTGACGAAGCTGCATGTTGGCGAACTGATCGACCCAGCCGTGGGCAGCGGCACCGGAGGAGTGCATGGGAGCGGCCGTAGCCGGCATAGCTCCGGCCGCATGGCCGAAGACACCGGGCGCTTGTCCCGCATGGAAGGCCGGGGCGCCTGGGTTATTCAGGATCAAGTTGTTCTGTGCGAAACCGAGCGATGGGCCCGGGGCGTCGAGCATAGGAGCCTGCTGGAAGTTGTCGAATGCGCCGTCAGCGGCGAAGGAGGGACGGTTCCTGAAGGACTAGCTTGGGAATTAGCATTGAGTTACGTTCCGTATTCTACGACATGACAAAAGAAAGCGAGCATATCATACAGCACCGGCAGCCGAGTTGGGCGAGTTGACCAGGCGGTCCTGATGGAGAGTACGGTCGCGATCGGCGTGGGCGAGAAGGTTCTTGGCGCCGTTGGACGGGCCGCACATGTTATCAGCCATGTTGTCGAGGTTTGGTGTTTGGTGAAAGCAAAGGCTCGTGAGGCGTTGGTGACAGCAAGATTAGAGAAAGAGATACGAAGTAAAGGGTTATATATTAAAAGAGAGAGGTAGAAGATGTGCTTGAAAGCGTATAATGTGAGTGTTGTAGAGCGAGGAAGACTTGAGCAAAGTGAGCGAAAGGAGAGTTGCAAGTTGTAGTGGCGCGAACTTTAAGAAGCCGAGGTTCTTAGATCAGCGCGATAGTAACCGAACCCGCCGGTATTCTCAAGTCTACGGTATTTGGAGAGAAGTGGTTGGGGAGAGGAAAAAAGGAAACAAGCAAGACAAAAAGTAAACAACGTCCTGTTAAGTACCGCGACAAGAACGAGACTGGTTCCCGTGCGCAAGAAAATCCCTTTCGGCAAACAATAAAAAAAACTGGAAGCGTCACAGATTTGAATAAGGTTAGGTTTTGGGAAGGAGCAGGAGATTCCATCCCAACTTTTGTAAGTGACGCTGCCACGGCACTTGGGAAATTCGGGGTAAAGCCATGCGCTCATGGCGCTATCATATGCATGTTCAGTGGACTTTTACAGCGGGAACGGGAGAGGCGAGGGCCGCCAGGCCGCGTGGGGTTAACGTGCCCCTGCCTCACTCTGCCCCACACTGTCTCAAAGGAAGGGGCGGGATCCACTACTTCGAGTCTCCGACCCTAAGATAACGTCACACCACGGTGAGCTTACGAGGACGCCCACAAAGCCCCACTCACCGCGTCTCACCTTTGCTCGCCTTGACTTCTTGCCAGCTGGACCACATCATCCGACAGGGATCACTGCACAAGCGTCAAGCTCCAGCGAGACGGGTTCATCGTGTCGCCTGGCCGTCCACTGTAGCTTCCAGCTTCCAGTCCAGTGGTGATCCAACTGAACAGCAATCCTCAACGACGGCCTTTTCCCCTTTTTGCTACAACCTTTACTTCATAATTCTGATTTGCTCCATAACCCAAAGCGCGCACATACGACCTCATAATCTTTCTGTCTTTCCCACATCTTCAATACCCCATAATTAATCAAGATGGTACGTCCCTCTAACACCCCAAGCTGCCGGCGCAGCGGTCCCCCTTTCTTGGCTGTCTATTCACTAACATGAAGCTATCGCGACGAACCAGACCGCAGGCGCACAGGTTATCGCCAACTCTGGCCACGATGATATGATTGTACGTTAACCTCGACCTTCACTACGTTTCCCGACAACCGATCATCATCTGTTTCTAACAGACCCTCGCAGCACGATGCAGTTCTCGACTACTACGGCAGGAGGTTAGCGACATGCTCCTCGGATCGCACTATCAAGATCTTCGAGATCGAGGGCGAGTCACAGCGACTTATCGAGACACTGAAGGGTACGTTTGCGATGGGCCACAGTCAACCAGCAACATGGGCATTGGGTTAACCTCCCTTCTTACAACAGACACGACGGCGCTGTCTGGTGCGTAGCATGGGCGCACCCCAAGTACGGCAACATCCTCGCCTCGGCAGGCTACGACGGCAAGGTTCTTATCTGGCGTGAGCAAGCCGGTAGCTGGCAGCGCATCTTCGACTTTGCCCTACACAAAGCGAGCGTCAACATCGTGTCCTGGTCTCCCCACGAAGCCGGCTGCCTCTTGGCCTGCGCCTCTTCCGATGGCAACGTCAGCGTTCTCGAGTTCAAGGATAACAGCTGGGAGCACAAGATCTTCCATGCCCACGGCTTGGGCGTCAACTCGGTCTCGTGGGCACCCGCCACCACCCCCGGCAGCATCGTCAGCAGCAACCCTGGCCCCGGCTCAACGGGCAACAGGCGCTTCGTGACCGGCGGCTCCGACAACCTGCTCAAGATCTGGACCTTCGACCCCGCGACGAACGGATACAAGCTCGAGCGTGAGCCCCTGACGGGCCACACGGACTGGGTGCGCGACGTTGCGTGGAGCTCGACTGTGCTTCAGAAGAGCTACATTGCGAGCGCCTCGCAGGATAAGACGGTGCGCATCTGGACGAGCGACGCGGCGAACCCGGGCGAGTGGAAGTGCAAGGTTCTCAACTTCGATGCGGCCGTCTGGCGCGTCAGCTGGTCGCTCAGCGGAAACGTGTTGGCCGCCAGCAGCGACAACAACAAGGTCACACTATGGAAGGAGAACCTCAAGGGTGAGTGGGAGAACGTCAAGACCATTGAAGAGTAAGAAAAAGACGAGATACGGAAATCATGTTTATGAGGATTGGCGAGTACTAGTATAATAATTGGTAGGGTATCTACTCATCATCTAGAGTGGGCCTTCGTCGGGTAATAAACCAGGAAGGCTAGGAGCGAAAAAGGAGCAGGCCTGCCTTCAGTTTCACGAGAACACATCCATCGCATTGGCTTTACACCAACCGCTCGGCACGCTCACAATGAGCAAAATCAAACCAAGCTCTACATATCTTACACTACTGGTACAATACAAACTTACAACCGGACGTGTCAGTGACGGTTCGAGGTCTTGTCTTCAACGGGCCTTGTCCATCTTCTCCTCCAACCACTCCAACACGATCTCCCTCCCCCTCTCATCCAAGTCCCCGACCCCTTCCAGATCGCCAATCTCCATATCCTGATCGTCCACCACGCCCACGTCCGCCACCTTGACCCTCCTCGCCGCCTCCAGCTCCCAGTGGTGGATGTCGACCATGTAGTCCTCGTCCCACTTCTGCCGCTCTCTGAGCTCCAACGTCTCGATGCTCCGCTGCATCAGCAGCGCCAGCTCGTGCGCTTGCGTGCGGAAGCTGTTCTCGCCGGCGGTGATGGCGACGGGGGGTCGGCGGTTTTTGCGCGTTTTGAGGCGGGGGCGGGATTTCTTTTTTTTGGTCTTTCCTTCTTCTCCATCGACCTCTTCTGCTTCATCTTCCTCCACGTCATCTTCCTCTTCCTTTTCTTCTTCTTTCTCCTCCTGTTGCTCTTCCTCCTGTTCATCTTCCTCTCCCTCCTCTCCCTCCTTCTCCTCCTCCTTTACCCCCTTCCCCTTCCCCTTCTTAATCCCCTTCTTCTCCTTCTTCTCCTTCCCCTTTTGTTTCCCCTCCTTTATCTTCCCCTCCTTCCCCTTCCCCTTCCTATATCTCGCCGACAAACTCATAGCCCCACTCCCCTCCACGCCCAATCGCGCCAAAGCATCGCACTTGAACGGCGGCAGCTCCTCCGCGCTCGGCGTCTCGTACAGCAGCAGCGTGTCGGGCAGCTTGAGCATCGAGTGCCGCGACGGGAAGTGCACGTACGACTTGCGCGGGAACTTGGCGTGGATGATCTGCACTTTGAGCGCTTCATCTTGTTGCTGCAGGTGCCGGTGCACTTCACAGATGAGATCGGCGGCTGCTACAGAGTCGGGCTCGCCCGAGGCGTCGTATACCATGGATGTTTTTTCTTCGGCTTGGGTTTGATGCTGGTGCTGGAGCTGGAGGGTTTGGTGGTGTTGGTGTATGTCTTCTTCGGGGTTCAAGGATGCTGTTGCTGAGTCTGGTGAGTCTGGCTCAGACTGGTTAAAGTGCTCGGGGTGCTCGAAGTCATCAGGGTTGAGGTCGAGGTCGTGGTCGTGGTGGTCGTAGTGGTCGTTGACCATGGACATTTTTTCTTCCACTTGCGTCTGGAGCTGGAGGGTTTCTTGCTGTTGTTGTTGGTGTATGTCTTCTTCTGCTGTGGTGTCTTCTGCGGCTGCTACTGCTGAGCCTTGTGAGCCTTGCTCGAAGGGCTCGGAGTTGTCGGGGTCGGGGCCGAGGTCGAGGTCGTGGTAGTTGGCCATGGACATTTCCTTGCCGTACTCTTCATAGGTGTGCACGTAGTGGTCGAAGTCGTCCGGGTCGAGGAAGTCGAAGTCGTCTTGGAAGGGTGGTTCGGGCTGAGGGGAAGTGGTCGGAGGGGTAAAGGGGTCATGAGGGTCGTTGATATGTTGGCCCTGGCCGTTGCCGGCGCCATTAACACCGGCACCAGAAGCGCCTGTAATCAAAGGCCCCGGAGGCGGCGGCAGAAGCCATTCCGGGACATACCTCTCATGAAAAGTCGGCGGGACAAAAAGTCCGGCCGTATGAAAGAACAGACAAGCGCTCGCGAAGCTATCGAACAATCCCGACGGCGAGCCGAAGAGGTCTTCGAGCCTTCGCTGATAATGCGCAATGATGGGCGAGGTAGCCGCCGGTCCGCTGTCCTCGTCGAGATCGCGGTTGAGCTTTTGCAGCTGCGACTCGATGAGGATGCGGTCGTCACCTTTCGGTCGGTGGATGGGATGGTCCGGTAAGAAAGTGGTCCAGTCGTAGATCCCGTTGTAAGTGATGAGACCGCGCACGGCCATGCGGGCGTGCGGGTACGACTCGCTGAGGGCCAGGCCGGCGGCGAGAGAGGCGCCGAGGTAGGAGCCGCAGATGTAGACGTCTTTGCGCTTGGGATATTTAGGTAGGAGATTTTGGGTGATCCAGGAGTAGCCGAAGAGCACGTCGTGGATGGGGGTGGGCCAGTGGAGAGGGGTTCTGTTGATGTCTTCATCATCGTCTTGTTCGATTTCCTCATCTTTTTCCTTGACCTCGGATGCTCCGCTCGACCAATATCCTTCATCGTCAAGCTCGGGTTCGACACGAGGCTTTGGTTTGAGTTGTGATTTTGGCTTTGGCTTTGGCTTTGGTCTTTCATCATCGTACAAGCCAGACCATCTGTAGTGGATTACGGCAACTGAGAATCTATGAAGCCATGATGGGAGATGGTAGTTTGGGTCGTTCTCATCTCGGGCGGCAAACGGGGGGATCCAGATGATCAAGGGATCTGTTGGCGGCCGGTCCGCGACATTGTACAGACTGGACAATGGGTATCAGTCTATGATTGAGCTTCATCGCACACAATGAACATGAAATTATTGAAATCAGGTTGACCTACCTGACAGTAATCTCACCAGCAGAGGCGCATGGAACTTGATAGCGTTCTATCGAAGGCTCAAACGGGGGACTGCTACTGTAAAATCGCTTATGGAACGACTGGCGCAGGAAAGTTGGTGAAGTGACAATGATGCGCCTGATTCTCAATGCTAGAGCCCATCTCAACATCTTTACGTTTTCCAGCTGATGGAGAAGATCTGGCGCAGTTGGTTGTCAGACCCAGTGCTATTCTACGAGAGTTCACAAACAGAGTGAAAGTGAGAGAAAGAGGCCTTGGACACTGGACCAGAATTTCTTACTCGTCGAAGCACCGATTTATCCCTTCATCTCCGTCCTTGTGTAGAGGCTGAATAATACCCCATGTGATGTTATGGCATCCCAAACTGGATAGGTGAAAGTTGATATATAAATCAAAGCTTGGTGTTGTTGGTGTTTGATTATCACCAGAAATTGTTAGAGACGACCGAAAACAGATGGAGGTACGTACCTGCATTGTGGGCACTCTCTGACACCTGGCCGTCAGCTGCACATAGCAGTGGGGCAATGAACTCCACAGAACAAGCTCAAGTTAAAACCTTGGCAGAACTTGGCATTAAGCGATCAGGGTACGTACCTCCTACACCAACCATACCCGACCTAACATGCTCTTGCCCCGGGACGTCATATGATGGGGGGACGGGATTCAACAAACAGCCCGACATCGTCTTCCAGCTTGGAAAGGGCTCCCATGCCAAAGTTTCAAGAAACCAACTTCTGACCAAGGTAGTCCCAATGGACCATCACCGATATTTGTTCATGATCCTGCTTCGTCCTTGCCGCCATGATGCTACAATAATACGACGATGACATTGAACACAAACAACAACACGCGTCTATAGGGGAACACATCTGGCATGCCCTAAGATACTTTCGCTTTACAATTACTACCATTCGTTACATTATTGCCTTAATAATAGCCCTAATATTCTGTATCCAACGATATGGAGGACGCCGGTGGTGAGAATGTGGAGGAACATCTCAATGCGGTCGATGAGCAATACAAGGCCTCACTTCCCGAGCGTATGGGAGAAGATCAGGCCCATCGAGACCCTAGGTGAGTCAGATGGAACAGATCCTCAGATACTCGGTCTCGGTACGATACTTTGATACTGACACTCTGAACTCTTGTCAAGTCGATGGTGGTTTGCCTCGGCTGCCTTTCCCATGGTCGCAGGCACACTGGGGCCCGTTGCAAGTGCCTTCAGTATCTGTGCTCTCGTCCGACCATGGAGACAAAACTACACCAAAGGAGCCGACATCGATACCGCCACCTTCATCAAAGACCCGGCCTGGCTGATCGCCATCAACGCTGTTCAACTTGCCATTGCGCTAATCTCCAACCTGGCCTTGCTCCTCAACATGACCAGGAGGCTCCGGTTCTCCATCGCCCAACCTGTCACCATTGTCGGATGGTACCTCTCATCCATATGTCTGATAGCGCTCGCAAGTACAACAGCCGGACCGCTGAAACCGGAGACTAACTACTTCATCTGGTCTCAGGCTTACTTCTACGGCATCTACGCGGCAGTGTTGTACTTCGTGGTCGCCTCGCTCATGGTGATTACCGTCTGGGGGTCCCAAGCCGGGCACTATGAAAAGGACTTCATGCTCACCCCCAGTCAGAGGACGCTGATGTTACAGACCATCTCCTTCCTTATCTATCTCCACCTAGGTGCTCTTATTTTCTCAAATACTGAAGGATGGAACTACCTTGACGGCATGTACTGGGCGGCCGTTACGCTCTTCACCGTGGGTTTCGGCGACAACAACCCCACCTCCACCCTCGGAAGGGCCCTGCTCTTCCCGTACTCCCTGGTTGGCATTATCAGTTTGGGTCTCGTTATTGGATCCATCCGCAGCCTTATGCTTGAGCGCGGCAAGAGAAGACTTGATGCACGAATGGTGGAAAAACTCAGACACCGTGTGCTAAGGAAAATGGCCAAGCAGGGAAAGGATGGGATACTTAGGCCCATAGGGGATTCCCCAGAACTGTCTTCCAGCTCAGGTCTGACCGAGTTCGAAAGACGACAATCCGAATTTGAGCTGATGAGAAAGATCCAAAAGCAGGCGGCTCATAGGCATCGCTGGATTGCTTTGGCTATCTCTACCAGCACGTGGTTGGTCTTATGGCTGGTCGGCGCCAAAGTCTTCCAGGTGTGTGAGCGACAGTATCAAAATTTGACCTACTTTGACACCTTTTACATGGCATATGTCAGTCTGACGACCATCGGGTACGGAGACATCACACCAATATCAAACGCCGGAAAGTCCTTTTGGGTCTTCTGGGCACTCCTTGCACTTCCGACCATGACAGTCTTAATCTCTAACGCAGGAGATACCATTGTCAAAGGCATCAAAGACGCCACTGACAAAGTGGCCACCATCACCATTCTTCCTAGCGAGCGAGGCTTCAGGAGCGAGTTTAAAGCGGTAATCGGCGCTCTTTCTCATGGAAAGCTGTTCACCGAGGATATCCAGGAGTCTCCACCAGGAATACTTGGAGACTCACAGCGCCACAGGTACAGCAGCGAGGATGACGATGACGAGGGCGAGTTGGCTCAAGACCAAGCCGATCTTGACGCCGAAGGTGCGAACACGGGTGCGAAAAACAAAAGCAGGCAAATAATGCAAGAGATGAAGATACACATAAGAGGCGAGTCGAGGGTAACGCGGAAGGCGGCGGCGGCGGCGATCGTCGTGATCGAACCGTACGCTTCGATGACTCCGCTACTACTACCACTACTACGCCAGGAAAGAGATCAAACAGCCGGTCAAAGAAGATGGGAAACACGGATGACGAGGACCCGTACGATGAGAACTCCAAGGCAACTTCTCAGCTTCCCAGAATGACGCGTGCCGTCTCTATACCACGCCAGGACTTGCCCCAGATCCCCACGGACCCGGCCGAGTACCACCTCACGCTGATCGAAGAGATCGGGCGGGTAACGCAGCACCTCAAGAGCCACCCGCCACGGAAGTACACTTTCCAGGAGTGGGCATGGTACCTGAGACTCATCGGGGAGGACGAGAGCGACGCAGCTAAGCACCGTAAGCCTCACACTCATCTTAGCAGTAAGAGTAAGGATGAGCTGGAGGAGAAGGAACGGGCGAGGTGGAGCTGGGTCGGTAGCAGGAGTCCGCTGATGAGCTCCCAGGAGGAGGCCGAGTGGATCCTGGAACGACTGATCGAGACGCTGAATGATGAGCTCAGAGGGGTCAGGGCCGCAAAGAAGAAAGGTGGGCTGAGGAACCGGAATGGGTAAGCAAACGGAGACCCTCGTGCTAGGTGTTCAGAGGGCGTTTCATCATAAATCAGGAGGTCATAATTATGGAGTAAGTGTTGCTCCAAAGTTCGAGACATATTATGCCCCGCGTCCGGTTTGTCTGCATGCTTACTTCCCCTTTCTTTAACGCGTGTTGTTAACTGGCGATTCGTCAGAAAAGCGACCGCATGATGAAGGAATGTTCGGACCTTCTCTCGTGGCTGCTGTCTGAAGCAAGAGCCAAGGTATCTTTCCTTTTCCGGATGACTAACTGCCTCTTGCCCAGCCAGTACTGGGCCAAACAGCAACACAGCTCAGACGACACAGAGCACCTCCTTCCCGAGCTGAGTCTCTGGAACTGGAATGACATCACCAGCCACACAATTTCAGACATATCTTTGAATACAAGTACAACCTTTATCCCGGCTTCATTTTCTGCCGACATACTGTACACTGGGGCATCTTGTCATCAACCACCCCTTCTATAACGGAGGATCCGCGGAAATTAAAGGTACATACATTTATCTCCTTCTGCATTATCATGCCAGCTTCTGGTTGTTCAAGCTCCTCCTTCATCCTTGTGTATTCCACGTCATGCTATATCACTTTATACTTTGCACGGCAACAGAGAACTTCCGTCCTTATATGTCCATCATCAGGTCAATTGGCGACATCCTGACATGTCAAAGCGGAAAGCTTCGCTCTTCTTCATGCCCAGAGCGGCCGGACCTTGTGTATCTATTTTAATTTCCCCGGCATCTCTTGATTGTGCAACCAACCCGCAACTGCCCACTTGCATCCAGGCATCAAGATAAAATCCTACATGAGAGGCTGACTGGATGGCATGCATAGATACCCTCCCTACACTTGACCAATCTCTACCGACGGCTTGCCCGAATTGGGAAAGCTATATTACTTACTGATCCATTCGCTTATACGTCTATATGAGAGGTTAAGGGCTCGCACCAAGCTGCTCATGATGTTTTCGACAAGTTGGAAATCCACGGCCCTCATGCTGCCCCCTTTGTTATTCTGGCTCTCCAGCGATGTCGTCCAAGCACGGAGAGTAGCAGCGTCAACGTGCCCGGCGCCCGTACCTGCGTCATATCCTGCACCGGTTGTCCGAGACGGTTACGAAGCCCGGCTGGTGGCTACCGGACTCAAGAGGCCGAGAGGCGTCATCGTCGATTCGAAAGGAAGGTTACTGGTCGTTGAGAGTGGCAAGGGGATTACCCACTTGACTATCAAGGACGATGGATGGCCGTGTTTGTCTGTGGAGAAGACGACAACTCTTGTGTCGATGAGTGATGTAAGATATGCTTTCTGTCTCGGCTGAGAATCGCCTTTCTACGAAATGATATGGAAAATGGGACTAACACACACCAGCTCAACCATGGCATCGAGCTCTCAGTCGATGGCAAAACCCTTTACGCCTCCACCTCCAACTCAGTCTACAGCTGGGCCTACGACGCAGAAGCCGTCAGTGTCAGCGACGAGAAGTCCCCCAAGACGCTCATCAGCAACATGACGAACGTCGGCGGCGGCCACTCCACCCGGACACTCCTCCTCTCACGCAAACAGCCGGGGATCCTGCTCGTCTCGCGCGGCAGCGGGAGCAACCTCGATAACGGCGCCACCGACCATTCCTCTGGCATCTCGCAGATCCGAGCCTTTGATATCTCCGACCCCAACCTCAGCACATCCGGCGGTGGTGGTGGCAAAGTATACGACTACCCCAGCGAAGGCTGGACCATCGGCTGGGGCCTGCGCAACTCGGTCGGAGTAGCCGAGGAGCCCAACACGGGGGGCATCTACAGCGTCGAGAACAGCGCGGATGGCATTAGGCGTTTCGACGTGGACATTCACGAAGACAGTCCCGGAGAGGAAATGAATTACCATGGTGTTCTTCGTGTTCCTTCTTCCTCTTCTTCTTCGGACACCACACAAGGTCAAGGGGGCGGCAACCACGGCTACCCCTATTGTCTAGCCCTCTACAACTCCTCTACTCCTTCTCCGTTCCCTTCCTTGGGAAACCTCAAAACCGGCTCCCAATTTACCCACGACTCAACGCCTTACTCTATCCCCTTTTTGCCATCATCCTCTGATTCTTCTTCAGTTCCGCAAGCAAAACCCATCAACATCACAGCTTCCGACACTTCCTGCTCCTCTGCAAACTTTGTTCCTCCCCGCCTCACTTTCCCCGCCCATACGGCTCCGCTCGATATCAAGTTCAGTAACAAAAATAATAATAGGACTCTAGCGTACATCACCTTCCACGGCTCCTGGGACCGATCTACCCCGGCCGGGTACAAACTATCCGCTGTCCGGTTCGATGTTACAAAGGGAGAACCGGTCGAGGCGAGCGATAGCACAAACAGTCTGGTGGATGTCATGTGGAATCGGGATGTGACCAAGTGTCCGGACCAGTGTTTTAGGCCGGTGGGATTGGCGGTGGATGATAGAGAGGGGAGGATTTGGATGACGGATGATGACAAGGGGGATGTGTGGGTTTTGAAGCAGGTTGGGGAGGTGAAGGGTGATAATGATGATGATGATGATGGAAATGGAGGGGTTGGAAGTGGGAGTGGAAGTGCCAATGGTGATAGCGATAGTGCCGCTGTCCCGATGCGCATGAAGAGAAACGGAAGTGGTAGTGAGTGGATGGGTGTTGGAAGATCGATGGTTGTTGCGGTTGTTGGGAGTGTGTTGTTTGCTGTGTTGTGAGAGAGTTGTGGTGTTTGATAATGGAGGAGAGAAAGGCTGTTGAGAAGTGTGTCAGTCCTAAAGGGGGCAGGCATTGTTTTTGATCGTTGTTACCTAAGTAAATTCAAAGAGACCTAAAACTAAGGGAAACTCAATAATCTTTATAGCATCTACCCATCTCCCAATCTTCTGTGTCCGCCTGAAGGAGTAGTGACAGGCTCAATGCCAGTCCATGGTCCGTGGTGCTAGATTTTCTGCTCATCACCCGTAGTTGAGTCAAGCTATCACGTCCCGTCTCCCAAGTACCATCGATATATACCATCAAATATAGCGTGTATGAAAAGTTCCTAAGTATATGGTTCCACGCTTCGTAAGTAAAGATATGTACGTCCCCCAAAAGTTCCAGAGCAACACTAAGACGCTAGAGTGATGGTATGGATGCAGTGGTGTTTGCAGTTGTGTTTACGGCGACCTGCCAAATCGACGAATAAAGAGGGCCTTCAAAAGACTGCAAAGCACCAGCAATCTGCTCATACGACGAAACCATAAACCCAGCTACCTCACCGAGCGCCAACAGAGCGAGGTTACGAATAGCAGAGGGTGGTAGGCCATACGATCCCATGACGAGAGAAGCAGTAGGGCAAACGAGGTACGGCCACCAGCTGCGCGATGGGGCACCGGTTAGGAAGGATTCGTTGACCAATGATGCTGCTTCGGCGGTGTCCTCTAGTATGTCGAGAATCTCGTTGGTGATATTGGAGGCTTGTTGGAGTCTTTGTGTTTGGTCTTCGTATTTGGTCGCGAGAGTCTCGGTGACGGCTAGGAGGCGGTCCATTCCTTGCTCGAGGTTGTCTTGACGGCGGGCTAGGGCGGCGGCTTGTTGGTTGGAGAGTTCCTGTTTTGTGTTAGCCACGATGTATATGAGGATCGATGCAAGGGAGATGGCTTACGATTTGTTGTTGCAGTGCGGTGGTTGATGCCGCAGCTGTGGCAACTACCGCAACTAGGGCGCCGATATCATCGTTCGCTCGAACGGAGACTTGTTGGAGCGCATGTTCGTGTGCGTGGGCAACTTTTGAGTGACCGTCGAGAACACCGGTGAGCAGTATGTTGAGCAGCTTCTGTAGGTCTTCGGCTTGTTGTTGGCTGTCGTGTAGAGAGGCAGAAGACCTTCGAAGTACTGCTCCAACATCGGTCGCCAGATAGTCATGAACCATGGCAAGTCCATCTCTCAATTTGTCGATCTGTGGTGTGAGGTTATCGAGATTCTTGATGGATTCCTGTGTTCGAAGGTCAAGTTGATCCATTCGCTTGTGAAGTTCGTCTTCCACTCCTTCTGTAAGGTTTCTCATGACGTTGGTAAGTCGCTGGTAAAGGCAATGCTTTGTGCTGTAAACGCGTGTCAGCCGTGATCTTCAGATCGTCCATCTCGACCCAGATATCCTACCTTTCTCATTATCCGCTCTGGCCGCCTCGCAGAACCGCAAGGCCTTGTGTCGGTAACTGATCCACGTATTCCACGCAGCATCTGACGATTTCATGGCAGACAGACAATGGTCGATCTCATGACTGCTAACGTGGAGTTGCGCTTTATCCCGGATCGCAATCTGACTCAGGGCTGGTTCGCGAAACTTGGCACATTGCGCCGGGATATTAAACCTGCCTCGCTCCAGATCACATATCGCTAGACTGGCGGCGTAGGAATCCACAAAGTCACGAACTTGTCGGCCAGTGTCTGTGAGTATCGTGGCGTCGTTCTTTCCGTCTACTAGCTGGCAGTTGTTGACGAGGAGTCGGGCGGCGACACGATGGCAAAACGGTTCCGATTCAAGTTCTTGGAGTTCACTTAGGGCAACGGCGTAAATGTTTGGTGGGCGTGAAGATTCTCGAAGCAAGTCTGAAGGTTGGATATCGCGGTCGAGGTGTACTTGATGGTCGGCTGTGTCGTGGTCAAGTTAGCGAGGCCTTGGATGTTTTCCTTTGCAAGTTTAACTTACGAACTGCCACTCTTCTTTCACTTCCCCAGGAGAAGGCTTGAGTGGTTGTTGCCGTAGCGGCACAGAAAGCTGCGAAGAGAAGAGGCCTGACCATGGTTGTTGCGTGAGTGTATGCGACGAGCTGATGATGATATTTCGAGAGTCAAGGGCGTTCAAAGGAGCTCCGTTCAAGGAAAATCGGCAAGGAAAAGATTGAAAAAACTCGCAATATTGATACTGCAATTTGGCGGTCGAAGTTTGTGGCCATGCAACTGAAAATTTTTGAAGAGAAGGAAGGAGTGATCCAGGACAGGGAAGGTGTACGAGGGTACGTTAGCGATCGCGACTTCCTGAGGAAAGAGAAGCTGACTTGACTTAAGCGAAGAAGAGAATCACTTAATTTTAAACCATGAGAATGTTCCGGTGAATAGTTTCACATGATGTTCACATCGAAGATGGCTGCGGTTGTTTGTCGAGCTCGACTAGGCTGACTCTTAATCATCTGATATGGAGGTCTCGTCTCCAGCAGAGGCGAGCCTGGACAGGACTGGGGATGTAGATCATTTGCCTTGACACCACTGATGTCTTACACACCTATCATCCGGTATTAATAAAATACAAACAGCTCGTCCATGATAGTTTGGACGAATTCGACCGTGGCGGGTGTCCTGGGTGGTGATGATGTCCTGAGGGTGGCATCCGCCAAAGTTGTCATCGGAAAGCTGCACGGTTGTCGAGGAAGAGAAACCATTCCATCTGAATATCCTGGGACAAGCGTTTGTTTGCCATAGTTCCACATACAGTGTTCGCAAATATTCCCCAAAAGTTTCCAGTTACTCCAGATGAATGGTGTCGGATGGAATAACGTCCGTTGGTGTTGTCGTCGTTCCCAAATCTAGGTGGATAGCAACTTCATGACTACGAGGATACGACCCTAACCCTTACCTATCTGCAGCCAATCACTTGACTGCATCGCTCATGCCGCGCCCAGGTCCGATACATTTTTTGGAGCTCTGCCGTGAAGATCCACCCGCGGTCCATCCCACCTACCGGCCGGCTGCCCTTGCGAGCGACTGATTGCCAGAACCTCCGGCCCCCGAATTGGAGACGAGCGCCGCGTCTTCGCCAATTCCGCTCCCGCAGCATCGCGCCCAAACCTCCCCCGACGGAGACGAACGACGACGACGCCCACCACCATCACGATGTTCGCCCCAAGCCGAAGGAGGGTCCTTGAGGCCGCTGCCTCTGCCTCTGCCTCTTCCACCGTCGTCACTCTCCCCGGTTTCCTCGTGCCGGCTTTCCAGCAGACTGCCGCCGCCGCCGCCCGGCGCAACTTCTCCGCGACGACAACCCGCCCGTCCAAGCTCGGCCGCACCCCGCTCAGCATCCCTCCCGGCGTCGAGATCACCATTGGCGAGCCCTTCATCAAGCGCGACATGACGCAGTGGAAGCAGCAGCCTAAGCGCAAGATTACCGTGCAGGGCCCGTTGGGTTAGTTTTGTTGCGTTCCTTTGCTTGGGCAGACAGAAAGAAAGAAAGCATCGGGTTGTCTTTTGTTCGGGGAGGAGGTTATACCGCAAGGACTCGAGATATACAAAATCCAGGTCGTGCAGAAACCAGAGGGTTAAGGTCTGCCCGTTGCATTTCACGCCCGTCAAGAAGCGCGCACGTGGTTTTTGAAGACCCTCAACCCTGCAGCCTGGATTCTGGGTAGCTCGAGTCTTTGCAGTACCGTGGAACTGGCGCTGGTGCAGTAGACCGGAGGGGCATGGTTAGGAGAACACAGTCTATGGGTGGTTTCACGAGCACGCGCATGAGGAAGAAAGGCACCAGGACAGGAAAATGAACAAACAGGCTGACATATCGCACCTATGCGCTTTGCTATATTACAGGACAACTCGAGATGGACATCCCCGACTTCATCAAGATCGACCACGACGTCGAGGCGAGGAGAGCGACTCTCAGCGTAGCGAACCGGGACGAGAAGCAGCAGCGAGAGATGTGGGGTACGGAAAACACTCTTTCCACAAGACGTCACGTCGAAATTCACGGGAGCGGCCCAGCTGACGATTTGATTTTCTCTCGACATACAGGAACGACATGGGCGTACCTTAACCGCTTCATTATGGGTGTATCAGAAGGTCACACGGCCGTGTTGCGCCTGGTCGGTATCGGTTACAGAGCCACCATCGACACCCGCCCCGAGAAGGAGGAGTACCCCGGCCAGCAATTCGTCTGCCTCAAGCTCGGCTTCTCCCACCCCGTCGAGATGGGCGTCCCCGAGGGCATCAAGGCCAGCACGCCGCAGCCGACGAGAATCTTGCTCGAGGGCATCAACAGAGAGCAGGTCATGACCTTTGCCGCCGACATCAGGAGGTGGCGTGTACCGGAACCGTACAAGGGTAAGGGTATCTTTGTCAACGGCGAGACCATCAAGTTGAAGCAGAAGAAGATCAAATAGAGGACGCGCTGCTGCTGTGGCTTTTGGTGGTTGATGATGTTGTTGTTGATCATGATGATAAAGGGGGGGTATATTGTACATTTAGTCCATTTTCTTGGCACACACACACACACACACATATGGCCTCACAACGGGGTCCCGATACCTGCCATAACCTTTGTACACTACCACACTAGAGAGATGTTTTTTTACTGCTGACCAAGGACTTCCTGAACGACCTTGATGACCTGGTCGTGGACGGCAGCAGGCGCCGCGATGACACCCTTGTTCTCCGCCAACGTGCGACCGACGCTGAAGTCCAGACGGTTTCCATTCACGTCAGTGACCTGTCCGCCAGCCTCGCGCACAATCAGATCTCCGGCAGCGTGATCCCAGATCTTCTCCTGGTAAGACTTGGAAGTAGGCAGACGGAGGTAGATGTCACCCGCGCCGCGAGCAATAGAGCCGTATTTGGCCTGGGAATCCATCCGCACACTAGGCTTGGTGATACCGAGCTTCTTCGCAATCTGTCCAGCCACGCCCTGATCCGAGTGACCCGCCTCCACGCTCTCGCAGAAGCTCGCGTTGGACATCTCAGTGATAGGCTTCATGGCAATGGACTTGCCCTCGGCAAGACCAGCGGTGCCCAGGGGTCTGCTGGTCGCGCCCTGGCCCTGAACGGCCGAGAAGATGACGCCCATGCCCTCGTCAGTTGCGTTGGTGCCGATATCCGCAGTCAACGGCGCAGCGTCGTCCACAGGCAGGTTGGGGCAGCCGAGAACGCCAACCTTGACATCACCGTCCACCATCAGTCCCAAGCACACGGCATACTGTCCACCGCGCAGGAAACCCTTGGTGCCGTCGATGGGGTCGATAGTCCATATCCTGCCCTTGGCGCCGCCCTTGCTGTTGCCCTGGTCGATGATCTCCAGCATGGCATCGGCATCCTTGATGGCGCCACCGAGGAGCTGCTCGGCAGCCTCGTCGTCGAGCTTGGTGGACTTGACGAGCTCCCAGATCTGGTCCCGCAGCGGGGTGTCCTCGCGCAGCTGAGCGGCCTCCTCCTCGGCCACGATCTCGTCTGAAGGGAAGTTGGCCTTGAGCGCGCTGATGATGAGCGCCTGAGCGCCAAAGTCGCCAATGGTCACGGGGGACTTGTCGTCCTTGGAGACGGTGCCCTTGGCCTTCTCGTGGAAGACGCGCTTGGTGAGGCGGGCGGCCCGCTGGACGGCGAGCTGAGCTACCTCGAGCTCCTTTGCGTACTGGGAGGAGGACATGGTTGTGATTGTTGAACGGCTGGTGGCTACTATTGTTGTATTGGTAGTAGTACTGCCGGTCAGATGGGTGGCAATCAGGGAGAGCCGGGGGAAGGAGGAGATGATTCTTGAAGTGAAGATCGCCAGGATGAGGATTGCGAGTGAGAGAACGAAGAGAACTTTGGAGTAGAATATGTGGGAGGATGTCTTTTTCTGTTGCTGCTGTCTGATCTTCTTCTTATCCACAGTCATTCAGCCGAGAGAGAGGATCGATGAAACCCAGAAATTTTAATCCGTAACCGGAATAAGTATTTCGTCGTTCAAGTTGTTGAGTGGTTGAACTCTCTTGGATTCCGATCTGGTTGTCCAATGTTCCCCGCACTCGTTTTGTAGCGGCGAAGCTGTTGACGTATGACTGCCCTTTTTGTCTTTTTTTGGTCTCCGCAGTGCCACCAAGCGCTCTTTCCACAAATGCAGACAACAGAATTTCTAAATGTTTTGTTTACTTAGAGGTAGGTTCCTCAATGTTTTCACTCGGTTCTTGATGCTTCTTTCTTCGATTTGGCCCTCCTGCGGGAATGTCCGTCAAAACGGCAATGATGACATGGCTCGGTTCAGGGACCTTCCATGTTGCATACGGGCACCCTTGGATGAGCCAGGGAGCCCCGAACTCGGAGAGAGCTCTTCTCCTGGCTTAGACTCCATCGTCATCACCACCTTTCTATGGGATTTGTGATTTTTAATTCCCAGACGAAGGTCAATCGATCTGGATGAACTCAAAACGAACCTCGCAACACCTTACCTATTTTTCCCACCTCCTTATCGATGAAAAAGGGAACCTGGCCGAGGGTCCAATTCATCCCATTCCAAACAACGACCCAACCGAGCTCGGAAAAGCTGCAGCAACCATCCCGCAGCCTGCCAAGCCAAGTGGCTTGCCTGGATCAACTTCCAGCAACTCAAAGCGCTTCTGGGGACACCATCACAATCGTTGTGTTCAATTGTTGCTTCACGCTTTCCTCAATTCGCCTCGCGCTTCCTTAAATATGCGACACTGCCACTCAAAGTATTTCACAGCCGCCACCGACTGATGCTGAAATGAGGGATGTCGAACGAGGAACCAGAGCGTGGGAGGACGGTACCAGACCCCGTTCATGAAAGAGGGGAGGTCTTCTCGACGATGGTGTGTTGCCATGCGCTTCAGACTATTGCCTTTCTAACGCAATCACGTCGGCGCGACAGTCGAGCTGAAGAGGCCCTGTCATAACCCAACCGCCAGCCTCACGGTGTCGCTGGTCATTTGATAAGTATGGACATGCCGCCGTGGCGTCCTGGTTTGTTTTCACTCCTATCGAGTTTGCATTTCCTGATATCTCAGCTCGATCAATCTCTTCCCTTTCCCGTTTTTTGTGTTGTTTCCGGGTTTTGTTGTTGATATCCAAAGAGCATGCGCTACTCACAACAATGATCCCTCCTACTACCTCATCCATCTCCACGATCCTCTTGTACCTAGCGGTACAAGTAGCGCGACAAGTACGAGCCGACCCAAATGCGCCGTGTTACTTTCCAGGCGGCGAGTTCGCACCAGGATACTTTGCTTGCCAGGCCTTCAACGCTCCCGTTTCCTCTTGCTGTCCGGCAGGGTGGACATGTTTCAGCAATGCGCTCTGCATCGCGACGACGGAAAGCAACTCGTTTCCCAACTTGACTCTGGGCGCAGTACAGAGGGGAGCTTGTACAAATCCTCAATGGAATAACAGTATCTGCGGGAGTGCTTGTCTCGGTAGGTCCAACTATGGAAGTCGGTCTGACATGAGGATGTCAACAACTCGCTAACCATCAACTCGCTTGCCCGATAGAAAACGAAAACCGCAAAGGCAAGTTAGCAGCTTGCGGAAACGATCGATTCTGCTGCGCGGCAGACTTCAATGAAGGGAAATGCGACTGTTCAACAAAAGATGAAAGGGCCGGACCATTCATCATCAGCGCTGGCCTAGCGCAAACCATCATACAGGTGTCCGACACGACTTTCAGCGGAAGTCCATCGCTGAGCATTGCGTCTACGAGAGCTACGGGCACAAAAGCATCAACCACGGGTTCTATCACCCAAACGACCGGTGGCCCATCAACATCCGACTCCCTGCCCTCCTCCCCAAAACCGACCAGCGGCCAAACCGCTTCATCAGCACCAACCACAGCACCAGCAGCTCCACCCGTTGCAAGTTCCAAGGGAGACGACGACAATGACTCCTCGGGCTCTAGCAGTAGCAACGGCCTCAAAATCGGGCTGGGTGTTGGTATCCCGCTCGCTGTGTTAGCTGTTGCGGGAGCGTTGGCCTATTTCCTCTGGTGGAGGCCGAGGCAGACCGAGCGCGCGCGTCGCATTTCGCAGCAACAGGATAATTACTTCCAGTCGACGGATCTGGCGGAGAATGATCCGCATGGGCCGGCCAGGTATGAGCCGTATAGGCAGGCGGCTACGTAGTGAGAATCGGTTGGAGAAGGGGTTGTGTGCTGGGCAGTTTTGGTACCGGGGAGGATGGCGTTTGATATAGGAGAGTAATGTATGTTGGATAAAAGGAGAGCCTTAATGAGAGTACACCCTTGATCTTGCTTAAGCTTATTTGGAGTCGATGAATGTGGTTTCCGAAGATATGTCAACGTACAGTGTTTGATAATCTGCACCTAACCTGCTACAAACATCGGAAGGATTCACATATTCATACAACAACAACAACAACAACAACAACCCAACTGGACGACTACAACCAGCACTGCATGCAAGCTTGCTTGACAAGACCTCGAAGCTAGCCGCGAAGTTTCAATCTTGCTGCAGACAGTAAGCACAAAAAGAAAATGACAGCAAAAAAAAGAAAACCGGAAAGAAAGAAAGTCTGATATCCGAGACAAAAATCGCAAAAAGAGTGGGATTGCCAGGAATCGAACCTGGGTCCTCTCGGATCGCTGTGTACTAACCACAACGAGAAGTACTGACCACTATACTACAATCCCTGTTATTGAAATACGGGTTGGATGCATGTGCCTATATCTGTCATGCTCCCCTGCCGGGTAGGTCTGACAACTGGCTCAGAGCGGCATGTTAAAGATGGTGTTGATGATGTTGAGATTTTCTGCGAACCTAGAATGATAAACGAGTGAAGATACTCCAAAGCGCCATCCATTGCTCCTTTAGATCTCGAACAATCAAAAGGAAGCTGGGCATTCCTCTCCTTCAATTGGTCTTACTTTTCCGCTTATCCAGCAAAATATCAAACCCATCCTTGATGGTGATGGAGATGAAAGACGCTTGTTCTCACATTGGTTTTGCGGGTCATGCACAAGTGTATTCTTTTGTTTTGACTTTATTTCATTATCATAGGCAACTTAACTTAACAGGGTGCTTCTGGCTGATGTTTCCTTAGGATGGATGGATGAAGAAGCTAGCACCACTGCTTATATCCAATCCCGACCACGGAAACAACTAACCAAACTAATCATACCAGATAGCATTCATCCCAAACCCAGGCTCCGGGATCCTTACCCTTGCAACTCTATGCAAAAACTCGTCCTTCCACCGATAAATCTCCAGCCAGCCCTCCTGATCGTCAGTGATGGCCATCCACTCGTCGCTCCACGGGCACGGACTGACGGCGTTACTGTGCCCACCGCTCGTGGGCGTTGGGCTGAGGAACAGCTGCTTCTCGATGCTTCCGCAATCCCGCAGCTTGAAGCCCGCAATGTACCCCTGCAGCTCGAACTTGTTCGCCCGGGAGCTGGCAAACATGTACTTGCCGCTGAAGGTGAGCGCGCACACATCGGCGCGGTAGAGGCCCTTGCCGGTCTCCTGGTCGCGGTCGGGGATCCCGGGAGGGATGAGGGGGAAGCTGTGGTGCGTGTAGACCGGCATGTGCGTGGCCGGGTCGATCACGTACTCGCAGATGCGGTTGCCGGCCTCCATCAGAGCATACAAGTAGTTGCCCGAGGGGTGCATGGCGACCCAGCGCGGGTGGTCGCCGGCGTCCGGGGCGTCGACGGAGCCGACCAGCTCGACTTCGCCCGAGGGAAGCTTGCGGTGCGTCCAGAGCTTGTTGGCTGTCAGGTCGGCTGAGTAGAGGTAGCTCTCGGTAGGGTCGAATACCATGCCGTGGATGCCCGTGTTCTCTTGGTATTCGTAGTTCTGGATGTTCTTCTCGAGCGCGCCGGTCGCGGAGACCGAGAAGACGTTGCCATAGCCGGCGAACTTGTAGAAGGGATTGGCGTAAACGGCGTAGGGGGGCTGCTTGGCCGCGAGGAGGAAGATGGCGCGCGTGTTGGTGTCGGCGTCGTTGGCACGGGCTGTAACATACACAGAAGTCTTTTTGTTAATCTCGGAACATTGGGGTCTGGGCCGTGGTATGAGAGTTTCTGCGGGAAACGTACGGTGACCACCAATGGGATGCGACGCCTCGTGGGCAATCTCAGTCGGGCTCTTAACGGCAAAGCTGTTCCATTTCTTCATGGCAGCGCCGTAGATGTTCTTCCTCTCATGCTGTTACCACCATCCATTGTGAGCAGGCAAAGTCGCAAGTACTCTCGTGGACAATGATGGATGGATAGATCATACATCAAAGGTCATCCATGATATCGGCTCATCTTGAGGAATCTCTGTTCTCTTGATGAGCTCGCATGTGAGCTTCTCGTCGTCAAACTGGACAGTGAAGATGGCTCCTGGAGGGGTCCAGGTACCAATCATCAAATGGTGGAGGGGCATTTTGGAATGACGTCGGCTGGGAGGAAGGAATAGGCGATTGCGACCTGGAGGAGAGTTCACGCCGGCGTAGGATCACGGAGCGCGAAACGAGGAGGATGAGTTGTCGTACGATGTTTGGGAATTGGGAATATCTCGAGACGGGAACCTTGACGGACGAAGTTGTTCCCAAACTCCGACCGGTTCACCCCATCCCTCAACTCGAGATCCGACATTAATTGCCCGGCTGTCGCGCCGCGACGTGGTGACGGGGTTGCATCGATGATCGAAAGTTGCAATTGGAGCTGTGACCATTCAGAACATTCCCCACTTTGGTCCCCAGCTTTCGGTATCCAATTTGTGGGGAGCATGTTTACACGGGGCATGAGGACGGGACTCGGAAGGCGGCAACGGTAGATTTCAGAGAGGAGTGCTCCCGATTCTGCGCTCGACTGCACCGGTTTTGACGGGCTTTTCCCAGCGGTCACAGCGGACTTGTGTGGGATTTTGTGTAACGACCACCCAGCTGCCACCTCTGCAAGGTCCAGAACGCCCCGGATTCGATTGGGAGAGAGACCAGGCACTCCCTTGCCGGACGAACCGGGGCTTGTGCCAAAGAAAACTGGAACCCCCCGTTGCCCCGTTCCCGAGCCCGGGGGAGCTGTCATGGGAACCCTGCTGCGTCCGGGTCCCGTCGTTGGGTGTTGCACAATAACAGGCCGGCGGGAAAAGGCTCACCCATCCCATTCCATCTCTCAGTAAACTTTTACACGGCACCTCGAGTGTTGTGTGGTGTTTGTTCTCTTTTGAAACGCCGCCTGCAAGACGGCTATTACTGCAAGGCAACCAAATTGGTTACCGGCATGGAAGGCAACCAGATCCAATATATCGAGAATCGGGGTTGTTTAAACAGGTACCGTCGGCATCTGAATCTTGTGGTGATGGGGTCGTATGGGAAGGCTGGTGGTAGGAAAGTAAACAAAGCTCCTATTTTCTCCCCGCTCAATGCCGAGATCTGAAGAGTGGATTTGCGGGCAGCAAAGTGTCAAGACATGAGCCGCATGAAAGATGCCAAGACCGACAAAAGATTCACACCGTTTGGACAAAGTCGAGATCGCCTTCAAACACACCGGATCAGCTCCCGACGTCTCGAGTGTGATTCACCGCAGACGAGCAAAAAGGTGAACTCAATTTAGGAACAAAGATGTTGGTTGATTTCATATTGGAGTGCTACCGGGAGTTCCTTGTAAGCGGAGACAACTGCAACGATCACGGCAGCGAACCGGCATCAGTTTTGAAGATCCAGGGTTAGGGGCTAACACGACAGGCAGGGCTAAATTTCTCCCGCTTTGCCTCCCTTTCTCCATAACCCCACATTCGCATCACACCCCACCGTGGCCGACTTAGGAACGTCAACCTGCCGCGAGCCCGTCCGGAATCCAGAGCTCTCTCAAGGGCGGCGGGGAAACATGGAGGCACATGGCACCATCTGGGCACCTGGGTCCTGGGCAATCTGGGGGCGTGGTTAACGTGTGCGATCCTATCATGTTGCGACAATTTGACAATGTCATGAAGATCCAGGGTGTGCGTTGAGCAGAGGGAAGAGAGATCCCCAGTTATACGGTGACAGTCTTGGTCTGTATTAGGTTCATGTCTCTTTGTATATAATATCCTTCGAGGATCCTTCTTGCCCTCCTCCTTCTTTCTTCATCATCAACATCATCATCATCATCTACAAGTCTGGATCTGCCTGTTCCAACTTCTTCTTCATCCTCTTGATCTTCTCAGTTCTGTTTCATATCATCCAAAATGGCCTCCCACAGATTCGACCCCAACTTCACCCAGAATGTCATTGATGGCATGGGCCCCAACACCACTCCTCGCAACCGTCAGGTTCTTGGTGCTATGATCCGTCACATCCACGACTTCGCTCGCGAGGTTGAGCTCACCATCGACGAGTGGATGGTCGGTGTCAAGTTCATCAACGAGGTCGGCCGCATCTACTCCGAGTCTGGCCAGACCCGTAACGAGGCCCACCGTCTCTCCGATATCTTGGGTCTTGAGTCGTAAGTTTACCCTTCCTGGACAATATGTCCAATAACATCAAAGAGAATCACACACTAACAACCTTCCCTTCTTCAGCCTAGTCGATGAGATCGCCCACAAGATCGTCGTCGAGGAGGGTCTCGAGCCCACCTCCTCTTCCATTCTCGGTCCCTTCTGGTCCCCCAACGCTCCCTTCCGCGAGAACGGCGGCACCATCATTCAGGACGGTGTGCCCCCCAACGGCCGCGTGACCAAGATGCACGGTGTCATCCGCGACATCACCACTGGCCAGCCCATCCCCAACGCCGTCTTCGACATCTGGCAAGCCTCCGCCAACGGCAAGTACGACTTCCAGGACCCCCAGAACCAGACGCCCAACAACCTGCGCGGCAAGTTCAAGGCCAACGAGAAGGGCGAGTACTGGTTCTACTGCCTCCATCCCACCGCCTACTCCCTGCCCACCGACGGTCCCTCGTGGGCCCTCCTCCAGCTCATGGACCGCCACCCCATGCGCCCCGCCCACATCCACATCATGGTCACCCACCCCGAGTACCAGGGCTGCACCACCCAGCTCTACCCCAGCGACGACCCCTGGATCACCAACGACACCGTCTTCGCCGTCAAGGACGATCTCGTGGTGACCTTCAAGCCCCTCGAGGGTGACGACAAGGCCGTGCTCGAGCTCGAGTACAACGTCAACCTTGCTCCCAAGGGCTTCAAGGGCAAGGCTTAAGCTGTTCGCTTGTCTTTGCTGATGGTTGTCTTTGAGAGAGAAAGAGAGATTCAAAAGAGCTTTCTTGCTTTTTTATGTACATTTTATACCCGCACATATTTATCATGGGGGCGTGTTCACAAAAGGATGGGGAACTGGCTTTTGTATAAAGGACCGCGGTTTTTTGTTTAGCATTTTGGTTCACTTTCGGCATGCATGGAGGAGGGAACTCGAGGAGGATGTATGATGATGAGAGATAGAAGCGTTGACTTTTTTGGATGGCAATGAGAAGATGACTGAAACAATTCTTGATGCGGCCTTCTTGCCTCTTGACTGTGTGTGTGCTCACCATTGTCCATAGATACCTATAGGGAATCATCATGGTCACCAACTTGTGTGAAACTTGTGAGATATAAGATTCTCGCTCTTTATGCCCCTGATACTGAAGTTATGAACACCATGTTGCTTCACGGAGAAACTACCTCTAATCCACAAGATCTTGCTATGCGACAAGATCGGCACATTCAACTTCTTTGAATCCCAGCTGTGCACATCAAAGACTCCCTGGCAGCTCGGCTCAGCGTAGTCTAGAATATCGACAGACTGAGAGTTCCAAAACCAGGGTCGGTCGGACGGGCTACTTTGGCCCAATACGGCGACACTGCGAGTCTCAAGGTCACACAAACTTTACATGTACCTCTACGTAAGCATTACACGATACGATAGGGCCAACGGAAACGAGGAAAGTGTTACAATATGGGGTAGGTAGGTAGGTTGCTTGCTGTGAAACATCCTGTTAAGTCATGCGGACAAGCTTCTGTATCACCCATCACCCATCATCCATTCTATTATGTATCGATAGTAGCCTAGCTGGCAAGAACTAATGTATTACCTACGGGGCAGGCCAGTCATTTTCTACCTCTAAGCTTCAAGAAGCAAACCCCGTCGACGACGGGGAGATATATCAATCAGGGGTGAAGTAGCTAGCCACTGAGATTTGGTCTGGAGTTGTCTATGGTCTGAGTTGTCACTCACTGTCCATTCACTCATTGCCATGGGCTGGATGTATGATACCTATGCGATTCTACAGTATCGTACACCTACCTACCTATGTCTCGATTATTCTTAGCACTGCCATGGTGCCCATTCTCTTGCTCATGTGTAGGGAAGCAAACAGCAACGAGCCCAATACAACCGAATCGAATCGTGAACGGGTATAGCTCGATCACAGACATACTGCCTATACAGAAATGGAAAGCTCAGGGCTGGGTTGGTCCGGACCCTTGACGTTGGGGACATCTTGTCCATAAAACATCAAGGGCATTCCAATGCCATTTGCTTCGCGAACTCTGGAGTGCTTGACCTTCCCGGTTTCACTGAGAGAAACTACTCACTTCAGGTTGTTATACCTACATCGTACCCGTAATCTCAGCGGCAGCACCGTCTTTGGCAGGTCCGGACACAGCTGTTAGAGCCAGCTCGCTTGCACTCGTCCGTCTTGTCCATCTAAAGTTTGCTCTATGACCTTCGCTTTTTGGTTAGACCACCAGAAAGGAGGCGGACTTGCCAGGGGTGAAAAACATAGCTCAGAAAACGGACCATCAACTTAGGGTCCTGAGAGGGTCCGTATACCGAAAGTCATCAGATAGTCTAAATGTCAGCACAGATTCATGAAGCTCTGGAAACACCTCCCGTACACTACCAGCATGCTGATTCCAACCAGCCCTGGCACACACAATAATCCGAGTAGGAGAGTCATGGATTGGGGTTGTCTGCGATGGACGTTCTGTACTTCCGTCCCCATCTATTCCAGTGTAAAAAATAAACGTAGTAGCTCTCGTCCTGTGCTCCGAGCAAACTATCTACAAAGCACAAACCCGCAGAACCAACCGACCAACCAAACTGGATGAAGAAACGCTTGCCGTGTCCAGCGAATATCTACAATCTTCTTCTCTCCATACCTGCCTCACGCTCAAAGTCGTGGTGAGAGGCGAGGGCCGTCTTTCTCCTTTACTTCTTCTCGTCAACCTTGGTCTCCGGCTTCGGCGTTGGGAGCTTGAAGGACTCGGGCTTGCGGTCGATACCACTGCCAACCTGCTCCCAAGCGCTGGATCCACCCTCAAAGTTGCGGAAGGCCTGCGTCATCTCCAGCGGCTCCGTGACGATGCGCTTCTTCTCCTCGTCCCAGCGGATCTCGGTGTAGCCGGTCATGGGGAAGTCCTTGCGCAGCGGGTGGCCATCGAAGCCGTAGTCGGTCATGATACGGCGCAAGTCCGGGTGGCCGGTGAAGAAGACGCCAAAGAGATCGTAGACCTCGCGCTCGTACCAGTTGGCGCCGTTGTAGAGCGGGGTGATGCTGGGCACGGGGGACACCTCGTCGACGTACGTCTTGACGCGGATTCTTGAGTTGTGGCGCACGCTCAGCAGATTGTAGACCACCTCGAAGCGCTGGTCCTTGGTGGGGAAATCAACCGCGGTGATGTCACTGACTTGGGTGTATTCGGCCGCCGTGTTGTCTGCAAGGATCATGAATCAGTCGCTATGTATCTCCAATTTGTTTAGGCCATGCTATCCACCCTCAGCCACCTCTACTCTCAATACTTGCGCCGGAACCACTAGTAGAAGTATCTCTTACACTTGAGGAACGAAAAGACAGGAATGACACCGGCGGGAGGGATGTAAATGGTCAACTCGTCCTTCCAAACCCGAGAATTGCTGGATGTACTTGGGGAGACAGCCCATGAGCCACGACCCGTACTTGTGGAGATTGTCGGCCTTGGACTGGTACTTGTCGGCCGGGTTGACCAGAGCTGCAGTCAAGGTGCCCTGGGGCTCACGGGGGAAGTGCCGCGGGTTGGCGCCTTCGGGCATGTTGATGAGGTTACGGCTGGTGGTCGAGAGGCATCTGATAGCTGGCGACGACGACGACGACGACGACGGCTTCGCGGACCGCAGGGCAGAGGCCAGGGCCCTGCTGCTTCTGCAGAGCTTGCTGGCCATCTTGTTTGGTGTGGGAATGGGTGAGGCCGGAGAGGCAGGCGCCAATGGATAGATCACGTAACAACAGCGGCCAGCAGCCTCGAAGGTTGAAAGAGTGGCACGATGGAGGGGGAGCTTCGAACTTCGGACTCCAAGCTAGCGTAGAGAGTGGTAAACTTGCGACGAGGACGGGAACGATATGCTTGAACAACCGCCAAACCACCTGCCGTCAATCACTGGTCGAAGCTAGGGTAGTTTTACCCGCTGTACCACCTACCACTACACCTGCCGTTTGGGAGCTTGGCTCCCCGGGAGAGTTACGCAAAAGTCACGTGCATGGTCACCTGGAAGCTCCTTGGATCTTCTTGATAGAAGACAGTATGGGGGTGGTTTAGACGTTGCCAGAAGTTGTTGAACGAGTGTTGGATGTATCTTACAAATTGCCCATAGCGTGGATCTCAAACTCGACGTGATGGTGCCGAAACAATAGCAATCTTCAGAAAGAGTCTCCAGAGACGGGAAGTCATTGAAACTCTTCAGCCCTTCTCCTTGCTCCTGCTGCGGGAAATCCAAATGTCTGAGTCGTGCACACCACTCTGACAGCTCTCCTGCAGCTGGCGGCTCCTTCTTTCGGAAGAGTGTCCCAACTGTGGCGTGACACGCGCCAGCTGGCCCTTTCCAGAACAGGACTAGCGCTCATCCGAGGACGTTTTGCTGGAAGGCTCTGCGTTCGCTCGCTTGTGCTCAAACTTGCCTGCAATTCCCGTCCAGTTCCTTTCCACCCACATCCGGCCAACTTCTCTCTAATTATCCCCATTTGTTGACACGAGCACAAGTCCCAAAAAAGAGGCACCGACCCTCTGTTTTCTGTACCTTTTACAAACACTACCACGGGCGTTTTTCCAGGTCATCATTTGCTTTTCTCCCATAGACCAAATATCGCGCCGCTAGTTTTACGGCCGTTTAATATCTACCTTACCGACAACTCTTCCGTCCATCGATCCGTATTCGACCCGGCCACCTCGAAGTCGTCTCCGTTTTTACCTAGGAGCAGCCTCTAACTCAACTTGCCCTTCACTCCCACCGCGAACCATCACCCCACCCCTCCAGTCACCACAATGGCGCCCTCTCAAGATACCTTCGTCGACGATGAAGAAGAGACCTGGTATGCCACCACCTCGCTCGACCTCTCTCCGCGGCCCGAAACCCATGACGACTGCCCCTGCCCCTCCATGGCCTCCCCTCGTCATGCCTAGCCCTCTCCGCCTTCCTCAGCCTCGAGCCGACCCCATGTCACAACATCTTCCAGCCGTACACAAGAACACATCAGACTAACTAGTAATACTTATAGCCCCCTCTGTATCGAGGAGTTTGATCTTTCGGATCGCAACTTCAAGCCATGCCCCTGCGGATACCAGGTACGTGGCCCAACAGCTTGCCCCTCCAAAGGCCCCCCTTTTTTTTTTGGCTCAACCTTTGCGCTAACGCCGCCGCCCCACCCTAGATCTGCCAGTTCTGTTTCAACAATATCCGAAATAATATGAATGGTCTTTGTCCCGCGTGCCGCAGACCATACGACGACAAGACTATCCAATGGAAGGTCGTCACTCAGGAAGAGTATGTTGCCGCCACACCCCCGCTTGCCATCCGTGACCTTCTGCGTCTGTGCTGACAGTTCATAGGGTTGCCGAGTTCCGAGCGAATATCCAAAAGAACCAAAAGCGACGTGCCGCCGAGCAACGCCACAAGGAAGCCCAAAAACGCGAAGCCGAAAAGGAGAATCGGAAGAACTTGGTCGGCGTCCGAGTCGTTCAGAAAAACCTGGTCTACGTAACCGGGCTGACGCCTACGGTACGCGAGGACGAGTTGCTCAAGACACTCCGGCGTCCCGAGTTTTTTGGACAATACGGCAATATCCAAAAGATATCCATCAGCAATCGGAAGAGCCAAGACGGGCACAACCAGTCCCTCGGAATTTATGTCACTTTCGAGAAGAAGGAGGATGCTGCTAGGTGCATTCAAGCAGTCAATGGCTCGCAAAATGGCGACAGGGTTCTGAGAGCTCAACTGGGCACCACCAAGTATTGTTCAGCTTGGCTCCGTCACGAGATTTGCACAAACAGGCAGTGTATGTTCTTACACGAGCTTGGTGACGAGGAGGACAGCTATTCTCGCCAGGACTTGTCTTCGATAAACAGCATCAGCAGCCAACGCCCCCTCCCTGTTGGCGGTGCCTCAAGGTCGACGTCTCGCCAAACGGGCCACCCATCGCCCGCGCTCTCGAATGCTCAACCGATGATCCGGAGTTCTAGCAAGGAGGAATCCGAAAACGGCGATGGCCCCGCGCTGCCCTCTTCAGCTACTTGGGCTCGAAACCCCCAGGTCCGTAGCCGACGTGGAAGCCACGCCACTAGCGGCGCCGCCCCCAGCCCTGCAATCTCGAACATTCTTCCAGTCACTTCCGAATCCAACCGAGAAGCCGTCGAAGATTTCCCTCCGATCGAGAGCACGGTGCATCATCCTCCACCTCCTCCCCAGAAGACGAAATCCGAAAAGTCGCCCAAATCTGCGGCAAAGCCTGCGCCAAAGGCTACTCCTTCTGCTCCTCCTGCTCCTCCTGCTGAGGCAGCTTCCCCAGCTGCGTCTCCAGCTCCGGCACCAGCTCCGGCACCAGCTTCGGCACCAGCTCCGGCACCAGCTCCGGCACCAGCTTCGGCACCAGCTTCGGCACCAGCTCCGGCACCGGCGCCGGCCCCTGTTACTGCTCCAGTTGCGGCTCCTCCTCCACCCAAGGTTGAGACATCCGCCAAGTCCACTTTCGAGAAGGCCAGGAGCGCTTCCCAAGATACGCTTACAAAGCTTCTCAAATCCCTCAATGGGTGCTCTCTTGCCTGGCCCAAGCTTGGAGACGACTCTACAGAGGCTAACTACCCGCCTTTGTTTGATGTGAGGGGTGGCGAGAAGCGGAGAGCTTTGCGCGACGATGTCACCACCGGCGTGGCGGAGTCACATGAGGGTTCCGCGGCAGCTACCGAACCAGCTGAGGTCGAGCCTGAAAGCAGTGGCAGCCTTGCTTTGGGAGGTGAACCTGAGGACCGGGATACTGGACGTGATTTTGGCTTGCGGGGAGCTTCACAGCCGCCCATTCAACGCGCTAACAACGACGGACTGTTTGGGTCGGCGATCGGGTCTGGCTTCAGCCAGGGTTCTACCAACCTCGCATCCATTGGCAGTCGCACCATGACACCACAGCAGCCTGCTTTCATGCGTCCGCAGGCGACGGGTTACGATCACCTTCCTCCCGGAATCACTTCCCAGGCGAACCTTTTCCAGGGGCAGGGGCATAACCGCCAGGGCTCTCGCTTTAGCTTCGCGAACGAGGGGCAAACAGCGTCTGCCACCTCGGTCAAGCTGGCGGCAAACCCCAGGGTCATGGCTCAGCAGGCCTCGATGATGCCTTCGTCCTTCCACGCTCAACCCAACACGCAGTTCTATGCCAGCTCCATGCCCGGCCCTCCGCCCGGGCTCAAGTCTACGAGCACCCCTCCGAGCATGTTTGGGCAGCACGGTTTCGGCTCTGCTTTCGGCAACACCACGAAAGATACGAACGAGATTCTTCAGCTCCTCAGCCGCGGCCGAGGTGCTGGTAGCCAGGTTCATGATGCGGGAAAGCGTGAGTTCTTGTTTCCTTCCATTCCTCCACTGTACCCACCCTCTACCTCCTCTACCCCAGCTCCTGCTCCGGGCCTGGCATCGCTCTACGGGCCCCAGCCTGGAGCCTTCCAAGACTTGGGTTCAAAGCAGAAGAAGAAGGGGAAGAAGCACAGACACGCTAACACTTCCTCCTCTGGGGGGAGTGGCTTAGTAGATCTTGCGGACCCGAGTATCTTGCAGGCGAGAATGCAGTCTCAGCAGCATATGCAACAACAGAGCAATGCCGGTCTCGGACAGGTGTTTGGTGGTCAGTCGCAAGGTGGGTACACTAATCCCGCCATGATGTATTCTGCTGGATATCGGGGATGGTAGAGAGCTGCTGTTCTAGACCACTTCTTCACTTCGCGCGATGGAGTTAATCTTTTTTACTTGTCCTGTTTTTTTTGGGGAGACACTTTTGTTGCTTCGTTTGGCACATCATATATATCACGACGGCGTCCACGGCACGAGCGGGATGGGTTTCTATGAGGCAATCAAGGAATGGCACACGTTTTGATTTTCAAGCATCACCACATTCGGTCTTCCAGAAGGGGAGCCCCTTTTACACTGGCGTCTTTTGCATTTTGAGAAAGGAAGGGAGATTCTCGAGGAGACCAACGGCATTCCAACTTCGCTTCTATTCACTCCTGCACAGGCTTTAGGGTTCTGCATCACTGGGGTATATCGGTCACGTCAGGCAAGCTCTCATCGTCTTCCTTCGAGATTTCTCTTCCACATGTACGTTAACGTCGGTCCCAGTTTTCGTACGGTCTGGGTTCAGTTGGCACAAAGGTCAAAAATAAAGCATTTTTACCGCAGCTGTAAGCGGACTCCGTTTCCCAACCTCGTGGAAGACGATGATGGTATTCTTGACGTGACCAAACAAAAAGCCCTCCTGTATATAACTCGTGCTGCGATTCTTGTTGTCGTCGTTGTCGTTGTTGTCTTGGTGCTCCCTTTCTACCAAGTGGTCCCCGGTCCAAAGCCTGCACTACATCAGATGATTATTCTTTCTTCCATCCGAGAGGCTAATAGCTTTGTAGATGACGATCTACCCTCGTTCGAGGAAGTCACGACAAGCGTAGACGCTCTGGTTTCGGACGAACCCATTACAACGATACGCCAACCCCCCGGAGCCTTCGATAACTTCGGCCGCATGGGGACTCCTACAACCGTTGCCCCTCCTCCGGGACTGGGTCACATCAGCCATCCTTCCCCTGCCATCCTCCAGGCATCTTTGCCAGCTGGAACTCAGACACCACCGGTCGGCGTACCTGTTGTGCCTACCAAGGCAACCACAGCGGCGGCGTCTACAGCAGCGTCTACGGCACCACCTACGAGTACACCCGCAACGGCAACGGCCTCTAGTGCGGCTGTTTCCACGGCAGCGTCAACCACGTCAACGCCTACAACAGCTCCCAGCCCACTTGTCAACAAGAAGCCGAGGAACAAGTTGGAAAGAGGCATGCAATACTGTCCCTTTTGCGCAATGGACTTGCCTCTTGCTAAGGACGGCAAGACCATTAACGTTTTGGAAGCAGAGAGACACATTGATTCGTGCGAAGATGCCAAGAAGCTTCGTGACGCAGCTGAGGCCAAGAAGAACTCCAAGGAGAATATTCAAGCTCTTGCGGCGGAAACTGGTCTATCGAAGGATATTGCAACGGCCAAGGCGAAGGGACCAAAGGTTTTGGCAGACGAGGACTTCCCTGCTCTCAATAGTCCCAAGGTCCAGGCAGCTGCCACGACACCTGCCGTTTCGACCAAGATTACGGCAACCAAGTCTAAGGCAGCCAGGAAGGCCGAAAGGGCTGCGGAGAAGGCTGCTGAAAAGGCTGCTGAAAGGGAGAGGGCTGCTGAGAAGGAGAAGGCCGAGAAGGAGAAGGCGGAAAAGGAAAAGGCCGAAGAGGAAAAGGCCGAAAAGGAGAAGGCCGAAAAGGAGAAGGCCGAAAAGGAAAAGGCCGAAAAGGAGAAGGCTGCCCAGAAAGAGAAGCCTGCACCTGTGCTGGTTATACCTGCGGTGGCGCCCACTCTTCCTAAGCCAGAACCCCGCCCTACAGACAAAAAGCCTGCCCCAGTTCTTAACATTGCCGCAGCCACCAAGGTTGCCCAGGTCAGAACTGCTGAGAGTTCATCAGCAACGACGGAGAAATCTGCCCATGATCGGGACTCGGCTTTCCCTGCCCTGCCTACGCCAACGACTGCTTCAGTGGCCTCGCCGCTCGCTCGGACAACAGCAAAGACACTAAGACTTGTCTCAACTCCGAAGACCGAGACGCCTTCTACGCTCGCCAACGCTACTGCCACGAGCGTCGTGGGCTCCGCGGCTCGTTCTGTGGCTTCGATTTCCGTGAGACCCGAGACTCCTGCTAGCGAGATGATTTCGGATAGTGCGTCCATCGTCTCAGCCTCAGTCTCGGCATCTCGCACCAGCTCGCCACCGCCGTCAAAGATCGGTTCTGCCCCTGTCAGAACGACCACCAAGAGTCAGCAGCGGAAGGCAAGAAAGGAGCAGCTCAAGAAGGAAACGGCAATTGTAGCCGCCCAGCCCGTCAAGTCTGATCCGAATGAGGAGATCGGACCCATCATTGGCCGCAAGAAGAAGCAGAAGAAGGAGAAGGAGAAGCCAAGCACCACCACCGCAAACGTAACACCGACTGTCAGTAGACCGGAAACACCTGCACAAAAGGAAAAGGAGGCGACGCCTCCTCCGCCACCCCCAAAGGAAGTGAAGGAGGTCAAGGAGGTCAAGGAGGTCAAGGAGGAGTCTTCCACGTACCGATCGACGGCCAATGAGACGACGACATTGACGGATGACGCTTCTCCTATCAAGACGAGGGGAGTGAAGGAGACCCCGAAGTCGGACTCCGTCTCAACTCCTCGCACTTTGCCGACACCTGCCACGATCTTCCAAGATTTGCAAAAATCGGGTGAGGTTCCGGAGAAGATCGATGACCTGTCTCTTTTCAAGCCGACAAGCACCGGATTTGAGAAGTCAAGGAATGATCATAGCAACGCTGCTGCCAGGGAAAACGCGGCTCGGAATGCCATGACGCCTACCAAGTCGATCGTGACTGACGAAGACCAAGCAGCTCTGCTTGCGGGTCACCCCGTCCGCAAAATGATTGATGGCGTCCGAATTCTTCTGACTCCCAACGGCGACTGCATTCGCAACCTGACCGAAGAGGAGGAGGATCGTTTCTTGGAGCTTCAAGCCCGCATCGCTGAGACCGCCTCCAGCCCTGCCGCGTTTGTTTCCTCTCGCCATGAAGCCGGCGGTGGTTTCAGTCTGATCAAGGGGCGTGCTGTGCCCAACGGCCCTCCGGGCTACTTCCCTCAGGCTCCTGGTCAGTACCCAACAGATCCGGTGAACAAGATCCAGCGGGAGGAGGCGATTTACTACATCAACCAGTACGTCCTCCCGCGGCTGAACCTCAATGCCAGAGACATGAGCTTTCCGAAAGCCATGTCAAACTGGCACCCGGATCAGCGTGGCGGTAACCCAGCCGCCGCGGGCCTCAGCTCGCTCGCTCCCTGGATGTACGGTGCCGGCTCTCCCGCGTCACCGCACGACAACGACGCCGTGGCACCCGAGATCAGCTATCCAGCCCCCGTAAGCGCGTTCGCCGACGCACATGGTTCCTACTTGGACATGCCTCCTTCACCGTCTGTATCTGCTCTTGATGACCCCATGGGTCATAAGGGTGCAGGCCTCAACATCGGCGGTGCTCCCGGCCCGTTCGGCAACGTGCCTCTGATGAGCCTCGAAGACGCCGAGTCGGCTCTGTCGGCTGCCCGCAAGGAGGGCGATAAGATCGAGAAGCACTTCAACCAGACCATCAGGAAGAATAAGAGACTCTTGATGGCCGTGGGCGGCAATCCCGTCTCGGTAGGCGGAGGCGGCGCTAATGGTGCTGGCGGTGGTGGTGGTGGAGGCGGCGGCGGCGCGCATTGACTAGGCTTCGATACAGTCTTTTTTGCTTCATCTGCGTCTTCGTCAGCGTCTTCGTCTTCTTTCTCTTCTTCATACAAGAACAACAACCATCACCATCATAGAAGGGTCACTTCTTCTTCTTCTTCTTCTTCTTCTTCTGTGACTTCGGCAACAGCTACCTCTGCCGCAGCAGCCATTGTCGCGGCTGCCAGCGAGCTGGAAGCACATGCCGCTATGATGCTGGCTGAGTTCCACGGTGATGTGGCGGCTAGGGGATACCATCCGTTCATGAGGGTGCTGCGGATCGCCGGGCGACTCAGTGGTGTGGCCTTTGCAGCGGTGTGGTTGGCGGTGGTCATGATTGAAGGATTTGTGGAGCTGCTGGCGAGAGGAGGAGTGTTGGCTGTCGAGATGGTTTGTGCGGTGTTGGATTGGGTTGGGGCTGATTATTGATGGGAGGTGGAATGGTGGAATGAGGGAAGGTCGTGGAGTCGCTCGCTCGCGGGCGGTACTGAGTAGCCATGCGTGCGAAGCGGTTTGAGTTGGTCGTTTGACGGTCGACTAAAAAGCGTGAGATGATCGGGGGAAGAAGGGTTGAGTCGTGCACTAAAAGCAAGTGGACTCATATCAGCGGAATGATTAACAACGAAAGCGTTTAGGGATTCTAGGTACTTGTAACGATAGCGGATATCCATATTGGATATCATCAATGATTTGTATGGTTTATGAAGAAGTGATAGATAGATATATGGGAGCCAATGATGGAAACGCATTTGGAAGAAGCAACTGATGATCATGATCGGGTAAATACCAGTGTCAAAGAAAGAGTGGTGTTGCGTGACAAGTTCTAATCATTCCCTTGATAACCCCCTCTCAGCTTCGTCAGCGACAAGGCCGAACGACAATGTATGGTAGGTAGGCACTTCTTTATGTGGGATGCCATCATCAGTGTTTGTTAGCCAAAAACCCTCGGCGCAGTATCTGCAAGCTGGTGAGGAGTCAGGTTCTTGAAGATGCATTGATGCGGTGATGCGTTGATGCACAAACCCAGCCTCGACAGGCCATTCTTGAACATCTGACACGAGATGAGGCATTAGTAAGATTCCATTGCTGAGTTATCATGCCCTAGAGGAGAGTTTTAAAGGCCCTGATGGCCAGCCACACCTCGAACTCAAGATCACAATGTCTTTTCCATGAGGAGTTCAGGCAAGACTGGCGAGAATCATGACTGTTACACAAGGCACCATCAGACCTTATTTAGACCACGCATGGGAAAATACCGTGTGTTTATCGCCGTCGATATCTTCATCGTTATTTCTTTACTTATGTACGTACATACCCCTTGGTTTCCATCCAAAACTGACAGCACTTTTAGATCTCTCAAATGCCAGCTCATCATACGCTCCTTTCCGAAACATAAAGACATCATTCATTCGGATGTCTCAAGTTCTCAACTGTCAACACCAACCAGCTTACCGACACCCGACCGACTCCCACCATACCTTAACAAACCCACAACCACAACCCATTCCATCCTTCTCGCCCGGACCCGAAAAAAAGAAAAACAAATTCCCAAAAATCACAGCAATCACCAAACCAAAGCTAGTCACCAAAATCTCTAAAAAGGAAGTCTGTGCAAATGCCAAAAAATAGGGCTCAGCCGGGGATTGAACCCGGGACCTCTCGCACCCAAAGCGAGAATCATACCACTAGACCACTAAGCCGATATTGATTATTTTGCTAAGAATAATCGGTTGTTGAAAATGATAGATTTTCGAAAGATTTATAAAGGGGCCAGAGCCAGTGCTTTGGGGGATACAATGGATGGGTTTTGGGAGCGGGAAGGTTGGTTACGCAAAACTCGCACGGGAAGGCTTGTTTTGGTAAGTGGGTGATTGCGCTGAGCTGCGCTTGCGACCGTCCCTTCGTTGCCACTGGAAGTAGGTACGCAGGTAGGACGGGAGGTTTCGGTGAACGCAAAGGTGAGTGAATACCATAGGTGGTGGTTGGTTGTTGGTGGGTTGTTCGCTCGGTTGGTCGGTTTGGCGAAGGTGAGTGAGCGCAACAGAAAGTGCAAAGTGAGATCGGTTCTTCCCGTTGTCGATGTCCAATCTGATGGTTTGGCTTGCGCTCGTTAATCTGAAAAGTGCACCATCAACATCATCATCATCATCATCAAAAAGAAAAAAACCTCAACCCGGTCGGTCTCTTGTGTTGTCTTTTTGCGGCCGCGAACATTTTTAATTTTCCCGCAGCGAGAGAAAAATAACCAAACTAAAAAAGATGCAAACAGGGGTCTAGATAAGGCATTTGAGTGCATTTCTTTTTCGCCACGTGCTTTTCCGTTCAGTTGCCGACCACTGACACGGATATGGCGGCCTTGGTTTTCGGTACAGTAGCCGGCCGGAAAGGTGAGGGAGGGTTCACCGTGGCATTCGTAGGACGGTGTGGTTAACCCTGGAGGTGATCCGTGCTCACACCTTGGTACAAGCAATGGGGGTTTAGTTTGGTACAGCGCGCGAGTAACATCAACAGAAGGAACTTCGTGGCAGTGATTGTTTACGCTTCACAAGAGGGATGATAATGAAATCGTTAACGCTAAGTTCCAAGGCTATTGTTACACCTGTAGTACAAAATTTTGGACGATAACACTGCTCCCAACTCCATATGCGTGTTAAGGCCCGCCCGCCCGCCAGCCACCCTGAAAGATGATAATGCCATGAAGAACCGCTGCCCTTCCCTTACTGCTCAACAGGAGCGTTCGCACTGCTTCCCCCGGTAGTCCCAGCCGCCCCCGTAGTCCCGGTAGTCCTCGTAGAATGCGACGTTCCCGGCCTAGGACTATTCGGCACACTAACCGCTCCAGTTCCCGCCGGCCCCGGAGACGGCGATGGCGAAACCCCCAACTTTTTCAACTTACTCCCCTTGGTATTAAACAAGCTCTTAACCTTCCTCAGTCTGCTCATCATAGCCTGATCCTTCTTCTTCCTCGCCTCCTCCGACTCATCATCATCATCATCTTGGTCTCCCTCTTCTTCGTCCCCTCCCCCTTCTTCTTGGCCACCTCCGACATGGAGACCACCAGGCGCACTATTCGGTTGCTGTAATGAGCCCCGAGTATCAGGCGTCATCGGCGTTCCCAACAATCCGCTCGCGCTCCCCGTCGCCCGATGCGGCGTCCCTTTGTTCTTCCCTCCTCCCAAAAACCCAAACCCAGAACTGGAGGACTTACTCCTCCCATGCAATAAGTCCCTGCCCTTCTCTCTCAATCGGCTCTCGTTCCTCAGTCCTTCCACTAGGACCTCCCAGGCGGCTTTGTCCGTCTCGCCCCTGGCTAAGGGCTTGGCGCCCGGGTTCCGCTGCGCTTGCGGGTTCTTCCAGGGACAGAAGAAGCGGTGCTCGCGCAGGGGGTCGAGGTGGTCCATGGGCGCGGGGACTAGGATCGTGTTGGTTTCCGAGTCGACTTGTTTGGATTTGAACATCCAGAGGCCGAGACGGCGGAGGCAGGTGTGGCAGGAGGCGGAGTTAGGGACGGCGGTGCCGAGACGAGGGTTCGAGAGGCCTTGCCAGCCGAGGAGGGCGAGGGCTAAGGCGGTGCGGTTGATCGCTGATGGTTGGTGTGAAGTGGATGGATTGGGGTTAGCCGATTGTGAGGTTGTGGCGCTCGATGGTGAAGGCTCGGTAAAGAAGTTTGGTGGCAGGTAGGAAAGGATGGTGTCGATGTCGAGACCTTCCGGCAGGCGGAGGTTGAACTCGTAAGGGAGAAAATCCTTGCGTTGGCAGAGCTCGTCGTATCGTCGGCGAAGAGTTTCGAGGGCTAGTTTGGGGTTGGGCAGAGGTAATCGTAGAAGCGAATCTGGTGACGGAACCCGTTAGCACACACATCATGACCCTCCCTTGCGGAAGACACTCACCATCGCAACCCTTCTTCCTCCAAAGGCAGTCCTCCCGGTGTGATGTGATAATCAGCTCAGCATACTGATCCACCACCGACTCAGCAATATCTGCGGCGATCAGCACTGGAATCTCCTTCCCATCAACCTCTTTGCGATTCAGCTTAACAGCCAGTTCATTGTTACAGAGCGTGCACTTAACGCGCTCCTTTCCCTGACAGACCCAGCCGCGCTTCGCCCATTCGATCTCGTTGACCCTGTCGGGTTTTGGTGTCCAGTCCGTCAGCTCTTGGAAGGTCGCCAATCGTCGCACGAGCTGGTCGCGGTCGCCGGGGCAGTATTTGGGTGGTTGCAGTTTCGTAACTGGACTATTCTGATTCGCATGATTGCCGCCGCCGATGGCTCCGGGCGCGGGGCTGCTGCTACTACCTGGTGGACCGGCGTGGGAGTTCCATTTTCGCAGGGTGATGTTGGAGATCGTGGTTTGCCCTTTCGTCGGGGTCGTTAACGTGATTGCGCTCGGTGTGGAGGGCAGCCCGCCGACACGGCGCTTCTTACTGAGATAGTCGAGGCTGTCGTTGGCCATGTTTGTGAACCTCGAGCTGGAGGTGGAGGCAGGCGTCGAGCTCAGAGGAGAGTCATTGCCATCGCGCGTCGAGGAGGAGAAGGGCGAGTCTGGGTTGTTGGTCGGCCGGCTCCCGATGCCCTGGAGCAGGGAGTTGAACTTGCGCTTAACCGTGGAGTTCATCGTGTCTAGTTCTCTCTCGATCGTATCGTAGGGGTCTCGGTATATGGTTGATGTTTCGGTACGGTTTGTGAATCAAAAGGCGCCGTTCAGCGACCGCGCCGCTTTGCCGTGTCCTTTTCGAAATGATGATGACCGTAGCAGGTTGAGTGGCCGAGCTCGCGTAAAATGGTCGTTTGGTGTTTTTAGAAGATTCAATCAGCGCTCGGAAGATTCCAGTCTGTCTATTGTAGCTGCCTTCCGATTGTCGTGAGGGAGGGTAGCAACGGCAGTTTGGTTACAGCTGTACGACCAATGATTGTGTTGAAGCAAGCTTTCGGTTTGGTGGGCTGAAGTCAAGAACCAAAAGAGAGCAGAAGATGCTCGAGTTGAAGTTCGGTTCCTGGGCAGTAGTGGACATGGACAGGGGGAACACGACCGGCTGTGGGTCTGCAGCTACTTAAATAGTGGGGCTCCCTGGCGGTTGCTTGCGCCCCACAGGCCATCTCCAATTCCAGGTTGTCTCCAACCACCAAAAGGGGACGTCATGCGTTTCATCACCAACAACAAAAAAACAAATCATCGTGTCATATACTCTTTATGAAATACTCAACATTACATATCCAATATGATCTACTATACTACTGTCTATTTTCTCCCGTACTAATATGCTACTCTCCAATCTTCCTCGCCCGGAATCCAATCCCAAACACTCTGCTCCGTAAAGCCAACGAGCTCAACACCACGCTAATACTGCTCAACGCCATGGCCAAGCTAGCCCACACCGGATCCAGCTTGACGTGGTTTCCCTTGCTCACAATGGGGTAGAACGCGCCCGCTGCCACGGGAAGCGCGATGCAGTTGTACACCACCGCCCACCCAAAGTTGAACTTGATCCTCCGGAAGACCGTGGCCGAGAGATCAAGGAGCGTCACCACCCCGCGCAGGTCGCTGTTGATAAGCACAAAGTCCGCGCTGCTGATGGCGATATCCGCTCCAGACCCAATGGCGATGCCGATATCTGCCGTTGCCAGCGCTGGACTGTCGTTGATGCCATCTCCGACCATGGCCACCATCGCGCGACGTGTGCTCGACTCGCTATCTTTGCCGACGCGCGCCTTTTCTGTCCCCTGCAAATACCTGATCTTATCAGCCTTCCCCGTAGGAAGTACGCCGGCGATGACCTGATCGGCGGGAATGCCGAGTTGGTATGCGACAGCAGCTGCGGTGACGGGGTTATCACCGGACAACATCCACACGCGAGTGCCCCGAGACTGAAGAGCTTTGACGATGAGCGGTGCTTCGGGACGGATGGGATCAGAGATTGACAACGCAACCGAAAGGATCCATGCATTGGGATCATTGCCCTGGTGTCGCCGTATGGCAACCAAAGCAACGGACTTGGCTTCACTCTTCCACTTCTGCAGCGTCTGGACAGTCTGATCCGAGATGGTAACGGAAAAGTCCTCCATAAGGGCTTCGTTACCGACAAGTAGATCAAAGCCATCTTGCGATTCGGCTCCAAGACACCTGGCCTTCATCCCCTTGCCAGCAATCTCCTGCAATTCCTCGACCTGGAATTTGGCAAACGTCTTTGCTGCACAAAAGGCCACGATGGCTTTCGCTATCGGATGACTGCTGTTCTCTTCGACCGCCTTTAGTGCCGCCAAAACAATGCTGCCTTCATCATCTTCTGCGTCATGGAAAACTTCTGAGTCCATGATCTTGGGCTCTCCTCCCATTGTCAAGGTGCCAGTCTTGTCGAAAACCACACAATCAACTCTGCTAGCCTTCTCAAACGCTTCACCTCCTCCCTTGGCCAAGATACCATGTTTCGCCGCGATGCCACCGCCAACAAAGATGGCCGTCGGAGCAGCCAGTGCCAGGCCGCAGGGGCAAGCGACCACAAAGACGGAAATCGCAAATTGCAGCGCAAACACGACCCATCCGCCCTTGGTGTCTCCAAGAAAGTCGTCTGACACATGACCACTATATCCAACAGCGAGCCAAATTATCCAAGTGGCTACCGCAATGGCAATGACGACAGGAACGAAATACGCCGTCAGCATATCCGCCACCTGCTCAATAGGAGCCCGTCTGGTCTGCCCTTCACGAACCGCCTTGACGACCTCGTCCAACATGGATTTGCCAGCCACACCGGTGATCCGGACCAAAAGCGGCGCGTCCTTGTTGATGGTGCCCGTATACACCTCGTCGCCTACGACCTTCTTAACCGGCTTCGACTCGCCCGTCAGGCTCGACTCATCCATGTTCCCTTCGCCGCGAACCACAATCCCGTCCGCCGGCGGGGAAGCACCATGTGGAATGCGCACGACATCACCATAATCAAGCGTATCCGCTTGCACCACCTCATCCCTTTCCTTCTCCGCAGCAGTACCGTACCCATCCACCAGACTTGCCGTCGTGGGCCTTAGTTTTCCCAACATCTCCACCGCGTCTCCCGTCCTCGACTTGCTATACGACTCAATCAGGCGTCCGACCAGCAAGAAGAAGGTCAAGAAAACGACCGAGTCAAAGTAAAAGTTGGAGTCATCCACCATGTGCACCTTCTGCGCTCCAGCCGCAACCATCTGGCAAACGGAGCTGACGTACGCAATCGTCGTCCCCAGCGACATGAGCGTGTTCATGCTGCCGAACCGATAAAAGCGCTGCAGCAGCGGGACGCGACTGCTGCGTCGCCACAGCGTCCTGATCTCCTTGTAGGCGCGCCTGTGGAAGATGTCGGCGGCAAAAAAGTAGACGGGCGTGGCCATGATCAAGAGCGCTATTTGCGCGCGCGAGATGCCGGCTGTCCATGGTTTCATCAAGAACTTGCGGGAGTTGTTACTCGAAGACACGAGGGTCATGTAGACGATGCCGATGATGAAAGTCGGGATGGCGACGATGAAAGAACCAATGACGCGCCAGAGGATTTGAAGTTGGTGCTGCCGCTGGATGGTCTTGGACTGCTCCTCGAGGGAAGGAGGGTGGTAGATGGACGCTTTAAAAGCCGGGTCGCTTGCCTCAATCGCCCTGAGGATGTGTCGGATCGTGAACTCGGGGGCGTCGGGCACGTAGACTATCTTGACAATCGGTCTCTTGTGACTCGGTTGGCTGATCACGTCCAGCTGCGGCCGGCGGAAGAAACCTGCCATCAGACTGGTGGAGACGCGTGACGGACAGTGTTCGCAGTACATGCCTTGGATCCGGATCTCGACTTCTCTTCTTTTCTGTCTTTGCTGTTCCTGTTCCTGTTCCCCGTCCGGGTCCTCGTCGTCGTGGTCCTGGTCCTGCATGGTGACGTTAACCAAAGTCTCTTCGTTGAGCGTCGCTTCGAACCCGAGATCTTCAACCTCGCCCACTAGCTTGTCGGCATTTTGTTTACCGCCGACGAAGTCGACAGTCGCGCTGTTGGTGAGCAGATTGACCGTAATGTCCTGCACCCACTCCCGCTTCTTCATCTCCTTGGTGATGGAGTTGGCGCAAGATGCGCAGGTCATGCCGCCAATGGACAAAGTGGCTCGCCATGTGTCTGATGCGCTGCTTTCACGACGTGCTTTTGGGGCTTTTGGGGCCTTTGACTTTGGTGGTGCCCTTGGCTTTGGAAGGTCGAGGGCAACGACCTTGTCAAGCTTCACGTCATAGCCCAAGTCTTCGATGGTTTCAACCAGCTCGGTCGCTTTGCTTTCGTCATAGATGTCGATAGCGGCGCTGTTGTTGATTAGGTTGACGGAGACATGAGCTATCCAGTCCTTTTTGTCAAGTTCGTTGGTGATGGTGTTGACGCAGGCAGCGCAGGTCATGCCGCCGATGGCGAATGTTGCTCTGTACAATTGCGGTGGTGGTTGTGGTTGTGGTTGAGACGATGATGATGTTCGTCGTCCTCTGGAAAGATCCACTGCGGTATCTGTCGAGATCAAGGACTTTGTTGTTGATGTTGCTGCCATCTTTCTGTTTCGAGCTGCGAAATCTAGAGCGTTACCCCTAACCTCTGAGACCGATGATTTCGGTTCGCCAACGACTGATTCCTTTCCTTCTTTTACCTTCTCTTCTGTTGCTACGTCGTGGCCGTTGGTGGACGTGCGACACTGCTCGCAGTTCTGGAGATGTGCTTCAGCCTGCTTTTGAGACCGCAATGGCTGGACGGTCCCGGAGAGGTTAAGGTTGGTGACCCATCTTGAGAAGAAGGCAGAAGGTGATGATGCCCTTTCTTGTGGATGTCGGCCAGGAATGGAACATTGCTGCTGCTGCTGCTGCTGAGTGTCATGATCGATGCCGAGATCCCCCCGAACCAGGAAGTTCTTGTCATTATCATCGTGACTGATACCAGTACTAGTCACGGTAGCAGTCGTCGTTACACCACTGACCTCGAACCCGCTGTCTTCCAAGGCGCGGTGCATGTCTCTGATCAAGGATGATACGGCGGATGTGGATGTGGATGTGCTGGAAAATGCGGCTGAAGAGCTGCCGTTGCCGTTGCCGTTGCCGTTGTCTGGTTGGGGGTCTCCTCCCTCTTCAAGTGAGTCGTAATGTTCCACCGTGACGACCGAAGTGACCACGTTGGGCGAGACCCATCGGATATGACTGGAATCGCACTGGAAAAGAACGTCCTTTATGGTCGAGACACACGAGGGACAGTGAAGATTGGAAATGAGAAATGAGGTCGTAATGGTGGTTTTCTTATTACCGACGGATGTCTCAGTCTCAGTCGCGGTGGACTGCTGCCGCCGCCGCGCTGGCATGCTGCGCTTGGATATTCCCATGTTTGCCTGATGCTTGCCAATGCTGATGTTTGAGTGTTTGGGATGCTTGGATAGTAGGTAGGTAGTGTTGGAATAAAAAAAAAGTCGATGATCACTTCAGTTCTTGTGTCCGTACAATTACCGTAAAGTGTTTCGAAGGTGGACGAGTCGGAGTAGTGGATGAATGAGGCTTGGGATGTTCTTTCCCTGTGTATATTAGTCCCGTGTCCCGATTTGGAAATTCGGGTTTTGATGTTGCTGATGATGATGATGATGATGGGGTCGTACCTTCTAAATAGCCTGAGTTCGCGATGGGAAAGATGATTCAATGCTGGAGTTGACAAAAAAGGATTTCGGAAGGTGTCCCTTGTTGACTGATGCTTGATGATTCGTGCTTGTTGTTGTCATTTCAAACTTGGTTGTTCACAGCTTGCTGTGATGACCATGGGGAAGGTTGAATGGTTGATATCAACCATGAAGATTGATGATGCTGTTGACCTGATACACAGTAAGGTGGGGAACGAGTCGTGTGAAAGATGGACGGGATGGGATTATTGAGGACAGAAAAAAACAGTCGATGGAAGACGACGGGCTGGACTCAGGAACGTATTAATGGAAAGAATATTGATCCAAAAGCCAGATTGAAATTTCCAGGGGAATGTTGTTGTGCCTTCCATTCGTTTCTGTATTATCCAGATCCTTTGACTTGAAGCACTTATACCTTCCTAGAGTATCGCCTTCCAGGTACCCTGTCATTACTCAGCTGGGTGTTTTCACGCACAATTCGCGCAAAGAGCCAAGCAAAGACCACTCGTTCGCTAAACGATGCAACAGACATGGGATGGATGAAATTGACATCTGACGAAGTGACGGGGGGATGGGAGACGCTGAACAACCTAAGATGGATGCAGAAAGAACACACTTATGCAGGAACAGGCAGGCAGTGATCTGATGCAGTCGGCACAAACAACTCAATGATTTTGGAAGTGGGGGAGATGATGGAGAACATGTTGAGTGCAGTTGGTGATGTTGGAAGGGCTAGAACAAAGAAAAAGGGGACGGGAGTTGGTCGTTAGCAACAAGATTCAACTCTTGGCAATCTTAAAACAAAATCTGGCTTTTCGCATGTGCTCATGACTGGAGTCCCTTTTGCCTATTCCTATCACGGTCATATGAAGTTGCGGATGGAATCTTCCGAAAACGTGATACCAGTCAGTCCTCGTGATGACGCCCGACGAAAATGGCAAACCACTGAAGGCACTGCTTTTGTGGGAGAATGACCGCCAAACGTTTTGGAATTCTGCGATCCGGGCAAAGAAATCGCAAACCTATAGAAAGACACTTATGATCCGATGGGTTTCGTTGAGTCAAACGGTTACACCTCTGATGGCTGTCAACAATGCGATGGAAGGTCTTTCCGTTGTTCCACGACCGATGACAGTCATGTTCCGGGTCGCCCCATCGGGAGATCCACGTGTATTCGGAGGATAGTGGAACCGTTAGTCTTCCGATTCACGACCGTCTTGTCGTCGGACTCGGCTGTGGATTCTGGGTGTCCGGGTCTCCATCCTACGGGGGTGAGAGGGGGGCCACGGGCAAAGAGGCCGATGCCGAAAACGGAGCTGGCGCAAAAGTGCATCAAGAAATCGCAATTGCAATTGCCACCACTGCACGTGATCCCACCGACAGCCGGCCGGTCCATGTTCGCCTGGAACTCGGGGTGTGCGGCAACTAACCCTAAGTGGTTAGACCGAATCACGCAATCGACATCAATCGCACGCAGTGTTCGGACACCGGCAACTTCAGACTGCCTCAAGGCTATCTTTTTTTGTTAGTCGCGGGATGAACACCCTCTCACTGAGTTGCGACCACCACAACGACGCCTTAGGTCCGTGGGGGATTACAATTGGTGATACTGTACTTGATGGGATTGGGTTGTCCCGGCGCTGCGGAAACGGAGGCAGTCGGGGTGCTCTGATACTCTCTGCTGTTGGTCAACTTACATCCATCCCGGAATCTTGAATCGCTCTAGTGTGTTATAGGAGCTCGCTTTGTAATAAAGCTGCTATTTTCTCTCTCTTACTTGACTCACCTCCGTCTTATTTCTTTGACGATCATCTCTCTCTTTTTCATCCCTCCGTGTCAACATCATATCTGCGTCGAGGAAGCGGTTATTTTGTTTCTTTTGCTTCCTGCGTTGATACGTCGTTGCGCGTGACAATCCATCCTCTTGAAGTGTTTATTCACCTTCAAGGGCATCGTCATCTCTCTCTTTTTTTGTTAATTGATATTCTTATCGATACCCCTTCCCACCACCACCATAACAATACACGTCAGGATGCCGTCTCTTGCCTCCATCTCCGGGCCGACCTATGTCACCAGCCAACTGCTTGTCCAGCAGACTGCCTACAAGCTCTCCGACAAGATCTTCTCTTACTCCCCCGATACCTTCGACCTCGATGTCGCCGTGAAGGAATGGGCCGAGGCCAACGAGAAGAACGTCCACGGTGAGACCACCACCGTTGTCCCTCTCCAGACCAGGGCCGGTGCCGGTGCTTTTGCCCTTGGCTACATCTTCTCCAAGGACTTTGACTTGGCCAAGCGCCATGTGCCCCAGACTCTCCTGGCCCCGTCGTTGAGCCTTCGTCACCTTCGCTCTTCCCTCGACCAGCTCGCCCTTCTCTATGGCGTCTCCAGCCCCTTCGTCGCCCACGTTGCTGCTGCCGACTACAACGCCCAGGATGGCCTCGGTGCCGACTACGCTACCGCTCTTCAGATCGCCGAGGACCTTGGTCTTGCCCTCGTTTCCAGCTCGTCTGCCTATGAGGTCCAGCACATGTCTCTGCTCGCCACTCTTTTGGCTTCTGTCCTCCCCACTCTCCACATCTACGACGGTATCCGCACCGCCAGGGAGTCCTTGAGGGTCGTCGATGCCCTCGGCGAGGCTCACATTGCCCATGTCTACGCCAAGGTCTCCAAGGAGGCTGCTGCCCTCAACAAGAGGCTGGATACCGCCGGCAAGGTTGTTGAGCTTCTCAAGGCCTTCAACAGCGAGCTCGGCACCTCTTATGCTCCTTTCGAGTACCACGGCCACGAGGCTCCCGAGACCGTCCTTGTCGTCTTCGGTAGCGCCGAGGCCCAGCTTGCCAAGCAGGTTGCTACCGCTTTGGCCGCCGATGGCAAGAAGGTTGGCACTGTTGTCGTCCGTGTCTACCGCCCCTTCGTCGAGGAGGCTTTCCTCGAGGTTCTCCCTGCCTCCGTTCAGCAAATTGCCGTTCTCGGCCAGGTCGCCGATGCTGCCTCCGTCGAGGATGCCAACGTGCAGTCTGCCCTCTACTCCGATGTCCTCACTGCTGTCTCCTTTACCGAGAAGCTGTCTCAGGCCCCCGAGGTCGTCGATATCCGTTATGCGGTCACTGATGCCCACACTCCCAGCTCCATCTCCTCCATCTTCGACAAGCTCACCAGCAAGGGTGAGACTGAGCCCGTCGCTTTCACTCTGGCCGCTGTCGAGGAGGCCCAGCAGTACGTTTTCTGGGATGTCGACAACTCCTCTGCCGTCGCTTCTCCTGCGGCCGTTGGCAAGCTCCTCGAGACCGAGCAGTCCAGCAACGTCTATGTTCACCAGACCTACGACAACCTCGTCCAGGGTGGTGTTGTTCGCACCGACATCAGGGTTTCCCAGAGATCCATCGAGGCTCCCTACCCTGTTGAGAACGCCGATGTCGTCTTCGTTGGTGAGGAGAAGCTCCTCAAGGAGATTGCTATTGTCAAGGGTGTCAAGGCCGGCGGCAAGCTCATTGTTCGTCTCCCCAGCTTCAAGGAGGACGAGCTTGAGAAGCGCATCCCTGCTGCTGCCCAGAAGGAGATTCAGGAGAAGAATGTCGAGCTCTACGTTCTCGACACTTCCTCGTCTCCTGCTCTCGAGAAGGAGGCTCGCCTCGTTGTTGACGTTGCCTTCCTCCGCGTTGCTCGTGCCGATATCACCAAGTTCGACTCCCTTTCTACTGACCAGGACGCTCTGACCGAGGCCGTCAACGCCCTTGACCAGTCCGTTCGCAAGGTTGAGGTGCCCGCCACTTGGGCCGAGGCTGAGGGTGCTGTTGCTCCCCTTGTTGACAGCGTCAAGCCCAACAGCTTCGTCGCCTTCCAGAAGGAGGAAGAAGAGGAGAGCTCCAGCCTCGAGAACTGGCAGTCTGCTGCCAAGGGCTTCGCTTTCAAGGAGGCCTACGGCACCCAGAACCAGCTCCGTCCTGACCTCACCGTCAAGACCTACACCATCAAGGTCAAGGAAAATCGCCGTCTTACCCCCACCAACTATGATCGCAACATCTTCCACATTGAGTTCGATCTTGGTGACTCGGGTCTCACCTACAACATTGGTGAGGCTCTTGGTATCCACGCCGACAACGACCCTGAGCAGGTCCTCCAGTTCATCCTGGCTTATGGCCTCAACGCGGACGACCTTGTCCAGGTTCCTTCCCGCGAGGATCCCGCCGTTCTCGAGACCAGGACCGTCTACCAGTCCCTCGTCCAGAACGTTGACATTCTCGGCAAGCCTCCCAAGCGCTTCTTCGAGTCCCTCGCCCAGTTCGCCACGGACGAGGAGGAGAAGAAGAAGCTCGAGCGTCTCGGCAGCAAGGAGGGCGCCGACGAGTTCAAGCGTCTTACCGAGGAGGATACTGTCACTTATGTCGATGTTCTCGACATGTTCAAGTCGGCCCACCCCGACTTCAGCGACCTTGTCCGCATCGTCGACCCGCTCAAGCGCAGAGAGTACTCCATCGCCTCTGCCCAGGCTGTTACCCCCAACTCGGTCACTCTCATGATCGTCGTTGTCAACTGGGTCGACACCAAGGGCCGCACCCGCTACGGCCACGCCACTCGCTACCTCTCCGGCCTTGCTCCCGGCGCCACCATTACGGCGTCCGTCAAGCCCTCGGTCATGAAGCTCCCCGTCAAGGACACGGCCCCCTCATTATGGCCGGTCTTGGTACCGGTCTCGCTCCCTTCCGCGCGTTCGTCCAGTACCGCGCTATGCAGAAGGCGCAGGGCAAGGAGATCGGCTCCATCCTTCTCTACCTCGGTTCCCGCCACCAGCGCGAGGAGTACCTCTACGGCGAGGAGTGGGAGGCGTACCTCGACGCCGGCGTCATCACGCTGCTCGGCGCCGCCTTCTCGCGCGACCAGCCCGAGAAGATCTACATTCAGGATCGCATGCGCCAGACCGTCACCGACATCGTCAAGGCCTATATCCAGGAGGAGGGCTCCTTCTACCTCTGCGGTCCTACCTGGCCCGTGCCTGATGTCACTGCCGTGCTCGAGGAGGCCATTGCTGCTGAGGCTCAGGGGAGCGGCCGCAAGGTTGACCCCCGCAAGGAGATTGAGAGGCTTAAGGAGGATGGTCGCTATGTCCTTGAGGTGTACTAAATGTATGTCTCTGTGATGATTGTATGTGATGGATGGCTATATGGGAACATGTGTCTAGCGTGTTGTGTTTTTGTATGTATGCGATCATTGGTTCAATAAAATCTTGGTTGGCTGGGCGGTATTGTGGCACTGATATTCTTGACGAAAGCAATTCATTCAATTGGCTCCAATTTCATTGCCTACAACTATGTGGTGAAACTGTGTCCTGGCGAATGGTGAATGTTCGCTGCTGGAGAAATCTCGGAATGGGGACTTGTTCAGGGGCAAGGGAGCACCACCAGCAAACCAAGGAATGACCATGTCTACCCCGCATTTCTCTCGATGTAGATCCGGGAACAATTGTTAACGACAACCGCACTTCCCCTCATGATCACTAACTCCCGGAAACCACTAGCCGTTTTCCTGCGGAGATGAAGGAAGATTGGGGTAAAGGAGGGGAACCGAGGTGATGAACCATGGCGCCCAAGATGGTTCACCTCTTCCGAGTGTCGTCCAGGACTTCTCACGGTCAGTGTTCCTTGCAGGAAACTGTAATTTCAGATATTCTTGCCCTTCACAGTTTCCCTCAAACGGTTGTAGAAACAATTACATTCAGCACACAAACATGAGCGCAGCTATCCGTGTTGTGCCTAGTGTAAGTCAAACTAATGATATATCGCCGAGACAACGCAGAGTACACACACGAGTGACGTAGGTCTTAACTGACAGTTCACGCTTCACAGAGGGCAGCCAGAGCCGTCAACCTGCTCAAGACAGTTCAATATGCTCATCCCCCATCTTGTCCCTGCCACTCCAACCCAGGCTATCACCAGTCCCAAACCCGATCAGTCGTGTCCCGCTACAATGACCGGAACTCCCAGTCCCAGTCCCAGCGACGCAGCTATGCCACTCCCCAAGATACCTCCCAACTGAAGGAGTACGCCTTCGAGATGGCCGCCTCATCCATCCGTTTCGGCCCGGGCGTCACTCAAGAAGTCGGCATGGACATCGCCAACCTTAACATCGGGTCCGGCACAGTCGCCGTGGTCACCGACTCAACCGTCGAACAGCTCGACGCCATGCGCCAAGTCCGCGAGTCTCTCGACCGGGAGGGGATCAAGTACAAGATCTTTAACAAAGTGCAAGTCGAGCCCAAAGACTACAGCGTCAAAGCCGCCATCGACTGGGCCCGCACCAGTGGGGACTACTCGGTCTACCTGGCCGTGGGAGGCGGCTCCGTCATCGACACCGCCAAGCTGATGAACCTGTACTCGGTCTACAAAGACGCCGACTTTATGGACTTTGTCAACGCACCTCTCGGAAAGGGGCGTCCGGTGGACAGAAAGTTACACCCCCTCATCGCCATCCCTACCACCGCCGGAACAGGCTCCGAGACAACGGGAACGGCCATCTTCGACCTAGTAGCCAAGAAATCCAAGACAGGAATCGCGCACCGTAACCTCAAGCCTACGCTGGGGATCTGCGACCCGTTGAACACGCGCACGATGCCATCCGCTGTGAAGGCCAGTAGCGGGTTGGATGTGCTGTGTCATGCGCTGGAGAGTTACACGGCTATTCCGTTTAATGAGCGGACGCCGAGGCCGACGAACCCCATTCTCAGACCGGCTTATCAGGGCGCTAATCCCATTAGCGATATTTTCTCGCTGAACGCCTTGAGGCAGACGGTCAAGTATTTGCCACGGTCGGTGAAGGATCCGGAAGATGCGGAGGCGCAGAGCGAGATGTTGCTTGCTGCTACGCTTGCGGGTGTAGGGTTTGGGAATGCGGGGGTGCATTTGTGTCATGGTGAGTTATTCACTCCTTTTCCTTTGGTCGTATATGATTCATACCTATGTTGGCCCCTTTTCCCATTTGTTGAATGTTCCATCCCCGTTCTCCCTCCATGTCTACGTTATATTGCCATGATCCACTAACACTTACACCAGGCATGTCCTACCCCATCTCCTCGCAAAACATCGCCTCCTACAAACACGCCGGCTACGACGTCCCCCACCCCATCATCCCCCACGGCGTCTCCGTGGCCGTCACCGCCCCCGCCGTCTTCCGCTTCACCGCAGCTTCTAACCCGGACCGTCACCTGGCCGCCGCCGAGGCCTTTGGAGTTGACATCTCCAATGTCAAGCGCGAGAGCGCCGGTGAGGTTTTGGCTGAGGCCATCGCCAAGTTCCTCGCTGACTTGGGTGATCAACCCGCTGGTCTGAAGGCCCTCGGTTTCGGAAGGGAACATGTCGAGCAGCTGGTCGAGGGAACGATCCCGCAAGCGAGAGTGTTGATGTTGGCGCCGGGGTTGGCGAAGGAGTTGCAGGCGGAGAGGGAGCAGTTGGGACGGCTGTTTGAGAGTGCTTTGGAGCATTAGTCTGGGGGACGGTGAAATTGTGGTCATGGGTCATCGGCGATGGTTTGGCCTGGGCTGGATGGTGTTGATATGTGGGGATTTACCATAGGTGCTGAGTCCCTAGATGCACCTACGTCGGTGTATGCGTGAGTCGATGTGCATATCTGCAATGAGCGATGCGTTGGGACAGGGCAGAGATGGGGAGAGGGGACAGGGCAGAGAGGGGAGAGGGCACAGAGGGGGAGAGGCAGGGTGTGTTGCTTACCTGAACATACATACCGTAGGAATTCGAGCAATCCGCCGAAGCCCCCCCTTTTCTAATTGGCGGGTAGAGGGCAGATCTGTGCAAGTAGTTGGCAGGATCAGGCCGGTCCTGTGTATGCAAATGCATGAAAGTTAACGTTGAGAGCAGTCACCCTCAGTTTTCACTATCTGGACAGAGACATATGCTGGCATATGCGGGCTGATAGGGCATACAGCTACCGGACTTCTGCCTCCTGGGGTTCGGCGGATTACTCGAATTCCTACGGTACATACCTACTTACTTCTCGTTCTGTTGCTCATCTTCCTCCCCCTCTTCCGTTTTTCTCTCCAGTGCATCATCCTTCTGAGAGGCACCGCCCGTTGATACTATCCAAATCATTCTGCAGAGCTGAACTGAACGAGACCTACAAATATTAATGAATTAGACGACATTCATTTCCCAGACTCTCCTTCTTTTCGCTCTCTTTCTTCCTCCAAGCGTTCTCCAAGCGGTCTGATCTACAGTCTCTCCAGTCTGCTTGCCTGCCTACCTGCCTTCCTCCCCGCTCGATTACCTAGAGTCTGTCTAGTAGGTCTTCATCATCTATCTAACTCCAAATTCATCAACACCACCGAGACGATCTACCTAGCTAATTCCCAGAGTTCCCAGCTCTTTCAACTCTTCCACTTCAACGATGGCGTCTCCTCCAGACATGTCCACTGATGGGGGTAGGGGCCGGGGCAACAACGCCTTCAACTACCACGTCAACGAACCCAACCCCATCGACGAAGCCAACAACCCCATCGACCCTCCCACCGCACACCCGGACCCGCCCCCTGTGGCCCCCTGTACCTCTCCCGCCGTCCTCATCACCATCCACCCCCCTACTTCTCCCTCGACATCCGCAAACAAGACGACATCTTCAACTGGGCCATCTCCACGTACTCGTCCCCGTCCTCGTCCGTAGCACGAGTCCAACCCGTTATTACCTTCGACGCAGCTAGGGCAACTAGGGCAGCTAGAATGGAAGTCGAGGCTTCTCCTGCCCTTGCTTTACCTACTTCTACTTTGCCTTCTCCTCCTGCACCTGCTTTGCATACTTTGCATACTTCACCTACTTCAGCTACTTTACTTACTCTATGTTCACATACTTCACCTACTTCTCCTACTTCACCTAACCCTACCTCACCCGGCCAACACATCCTCAACCAGCCAAAGATCAGGGAGTATATCCAGGCTTACACCCCTACCTATACTTATACCTCTCCCTATACATCTGGCTTTGCCTCTTCCAGATCTTCCAGAGTCAGAGACAGAGACAGAGACAGAGAGCAAGGTGGACACGGACAGCAACAGGGAGCTGGTACACAGTGGGGAGTTGAAGTTCTAGGAATACATCCACGTCCACATCCACACCTATATCCGCATCCACATCCGCCTTTGAATTCGCATCCGCCTTCGTCTTCGCGGTTGGTTTCAACATCAGCCTCGATTTTGGATTCGTTGGATTTTCTCTTGGAGGATCCTTTCCGGGACTCCAGACCGGGAGTTCTTGCTACTGCTACGTCTAGACCCACTGCTGCTGGTGGTGGTGGTGGATTTGCTGGTCGTGCTGGTCCTACTTCTCCTACTTCACCTACTTCATATCAATCTACTTCACCTACTTCATATCAATCTACTTCACCTACTTCATATCAATCTACTTCCCCTAATCCTACTTCTCCCGGCCGACACGTCCTCAACCTGGCGAGGATTAGGGAGTATATCCAGCCTTATACCTCTACGTCTGCCTATGCGTCTGGCTCTTCCGGAGACGGACAGCAGGGACAGCAGGGGCAACAGGGGCAACAGGAAGCTAGCTCTACACAGTGGGGAGCTGGAGTTGGAGTTGGAGTTGTGGGAACACATCCACGTCCACATCCACGTCCACATCCACATCCACATCTGCCTTCGCCTTCACGTTCGGCTTTGGATTCGGCTTTGGGCTCGCTCTTGGATTTTCTCTTGGAGGATCCTGTCCTGGACTCCAGGCGGGGATTTCTTGCTACGCACACTGCTACGGCTGGTGGTGGTGGTGGTGATGGTCATGCTAATCCTGCTCGTCCGTCTAGAGTGAGTGAGACTTCGTCGTTGTCGTTGTCTGGAAGGAACGACAGGGACACCATCCATGTCCCAAGCATATTCTCTCCAGACAGAACTCCCGATAACTACCTCTCTTTATTGGATGGTAATGATGTCCTTGACCTTGAAGCACAATTTGGAGGTGTAGGTGGGAACGCACAACACCGCAACGGCGAGAGCGAGAGCGAGAGCAGCGGCAGCAGTGCTCTTGATGTCGACGACGACGACGACGGCGGCGGCGGCGTTCAACCTGGAATTAACCAATACCTTGGCATTGGCAGCGCTGTCAATAACGACGAAGAGTACGATGGCGATGCGGAGGACAATGATGATGACGACTGGGGCGGCGTTCGATTTGACATTGAACAATACCTTGGCAGTGGCGGCGATGCCAACTACGACGAGGACGACCACGATGATGACGATGATGACAATGATGACGAAGACGACGACGGTGATGACGAAGACGG